CAGCAGAAGGACAATGATGTCTTTTGATCAGTCGGGGTACAAGAGGGCCTCAGACTGGAGGACCCTGACTTTGCTCGGGTCATAGAGGCTCCAGCCTGTTGGACTGAGAGCTCTTGGCCCAGAGACCCCCAGAGGAGGACTTAACACAGGAAGGGCCTGAGGTCCTCCAGGGTAGGAGGGCCTTGTAAGGTGGCCAGGGACTGAGACTCAGATCTCTGGGACAGAGGCTGCCACTTCCCAGGAAGAGCGTTAAACTGGGCCCTGGGGGGCTTCCCTGGGCACCCACCTGCTGGTCCTTGCTCTGCTCATTGGTACCACGTGATCCATCCGACCCCCTTCCATGGTCAAAGCGGACATCCTGCCTGGTTCATGAGTCGCTGATGATAACTGAGACCTACTGTGCGGGATGAGGCGCCTACAGGGTGCTTTTCACTGCTGCCAGGCTGAGCACCCGAAATGCCCCTGGCCTTGTCAGCCAGGATGTCAATCATTATCATTCCAGGTGCACTCTGCCCCGCTGAGTGACGGCCACCACACAGGGATGCCATCGGCACAGCCTGGAGTCTACCCGAAACGTCCTTCCCTCGCCTGAGGTGCTCTCTGTCTCTGACTCCTGCGCCTTGACTTCCCAACACCACCCGAGTCTGCCGCCACTCCCCCAGTGCCACCACCTAAGGCACCACGACACCATGTCCCATAACAACAGTCTCCCTGCAGCGCACAGCCTAAACTTCATGATGCAGCCACAGGGGCTTTTTAATTGCAAACCTAACCACGCAGTCCCCCAACTTAAGAGCCATTTTCTCAGGCTAAGACCCAAACTGACATGGCCCAGGATGCTGAGAGTGACCCCTCCTCACTTCCCAGCTCAGGTCCAGCCACCTCAGCCCTCTCGCCGTCTCCACACAACCCCAGGGCCTTTGCACACACAGCTTGCTGTTCCTAGAATTCTCTGCCTGACCCAAAACACACTGACACGCACACACATTTGCACATGTGCGCACGTACATGTTCTCTACGCAGTTAACATTTACTTATTTTGAAMGCTCTCACAGGCCCATGTTTCTCTCCGTCAGAGTCCTAATGCTGGTATATAATTGCACACACTCCTTTGGATCACAGGTGACAGTGGCTGCCTACCAGGGGGTAGCTCGGGACAGTTTCGGCTCCCAGGCAGCCCCAGGGCTCTGCTCATCAGTTGGTTTGCATCCAGGGCATGATTGAAAGACTCAGCCAAGCACTGTAGCACTGAGTATCAAGGACAGGCCCTGACCATCTGCCAGCCCAGTCCTGGGGTCCACCTGCAGAGCCGTGGCTGATGACACCAGCTGCCCACCATCGCCATGTCTAGCAGAAAGCTAGACTCCAGCTCCCAGCCTGCCTTGCAGCCAGCCTTGCCATGCCGCGGGCTCAGCCTCTGGGGCAGAGAGGAAGTGCGGTCTGTCCCTCCACAGCCTGGGCCTGGGGACCCTCACATGGGACCCAGTGGTGTGGACACTTGAAAAGTGAAAGAAGGTCTCCGTCAGCCAGTGTGGAACGTGTCAGTGTCAAGTTCAAGAGGGAAAGTCGGAACATCAAACTGAACACAGGTTGTGACCTTCCAGATAGGAATCAGTCCAAGAAGGGTCCCGAAGCCCTTCCCCGCCGGCAGCGAGTCTCAGCACTGAGTGGGGGAGTCCCRTCAGATTCTTATGCTCTTTGTGTTTCTCTGGACTTTTATGATACTTATGAATTGCTTTTGTTGTAAGAATAAAGCTCTTTTCCCTGACATAAAAGCATTAGGGGTGCCTTGCACTCTTGCTGGGAGCAGCCCCACCCTGTGGGCTCACATCCCAGCTCCCAGCCCCAGGGGCGCCCCAGGTCTCCGCCCACTGCCCACCTGTGAGGAGGGTCCTGTCCAGCTGCTCCGGGCTCAGCTGAGCCGCAGGAGAGACAGGCCACCCTTGGTGTGTTTCCACATATTTGAAAGATTAAGCTGGCCCCTGGGCAGCAGAGAACTCGCCTGTGGTGACCACTAGCCTCTGTACACTAGCCCAGCCCCCAAGTGAAGGGGCAACTAGAAGTGACTTAGGCACAGCCCAGCGCCAGGCCCAGGAGGAGGCGGCGGGCAGGGCCAGGCTGCTGCCCTGAGACAGGTGAGACCTGGAGCCACCCGCTCTCATCTGAGCCTGGAGCTGGTCCCTGGGGACAGGCCCTCTAGTGCACTGCCCCCTGTGTGCTGGAGACAGGTGCCAGACACCACCCAGGAGCCATCTGTAGACAAGGGCAGCCTGGGACACCTTCTCTGCCAGCCGGGCGCTCATACCGGAGGCAGGGCAGAGGCCCCAGGACCCAGCCTCCCGAGGCCGCCTCAGCTCCTAGCTCGAGGCCCTGCAGGATCCGGGCCTCGTGGCACCTTGGTCACACTCACGCTCGAGCTCCTCCAGGGCCCACCCTGGGTGGCTCCCAGCACCCCAGGACTCACACCACTTCCTGGCCCGCCCCTCCCGGGAGACCCCAACTCCTCTCCTCCTCTGTGGGGCGCTCAGACGTCCCGCCAGGCAGACGCTTCGGCGCCCAGGCTCCTCTGCTGCCCTCGTGTGGCCGTGATGTGGGCCGGCCATGCTGCCTGGCACCTGTGGCCACTTGACGCTCTGAAGGGGCCTTGCGGCTCTGCCTCKCGGCTTATTTTTAAAAGGAGCATCTCTTGTCTTCCTGTCCCTGCGCCTCCTCCCCAGCCTCAGGGGAAGCAGGTCACTCTCATCCCCCTCGGCAGTCACCGGTCCTCGAGCACCCCACCGGGAACCCAGGACTCAGACCTGGGATGGCACAGGAGCCAGCCCCCATTGTCCCATCTCAGAACTCAGCCCAGTCCACAGGCGGATCACACTYCACCGAGAAGCCCTGGAAGGTGGCCCGGTCTCCCGGGTGGACAGAACCACAGCTCCTGGACAGGAGGMCCCTGGGCTTCTCCTTTGCTCAAAACCATGTCCTCGTTATGGACTGGCACCAGGGGCAAGGACGGAGCTTTGGTGGGAGCCAGACAGTGCGGGCTGCTGTGCTGTCCTGTGCCCATCCTGCAGCTGGACACTGGAGGCTGCTTGCTGCCGCGCCTTCCCCCACCTCAGATGGCAGGCCTTGGCCTTCCACCCAGGGGTCAGCTGGGTCAATCCAGCTCAGGTGGCCTCAGCAGCCTCCTTAGCTCCGCCTGGGTACAGGCTGAGCCTGTCCCATCAGGGCATCGCACACCCTGGGTCAAACTGGAGGGTTTAGGGGTGATCATCTCACCCATCAAGGTGAGGGCTTTTCAGAGAGAGAGATGGATCTCGTCCCTGCAGACTGTGAGTCTGGGGAGTGGGGTGAAGGTCTATCTATCCATGGAGTCAACACAGAGGAAGCACTGTTAAGAATTAGGAAAAAAGTAATGGAGTGTTAGRAACATTTAGCCCTTGATCCAGCCATACCTGAAGAGGCCCTTCAGTCACTCCAGCCAGCCAATTTCCTTTATGCTTGAGTCCCTTTGGGTCGGGTACTTATCAGTTACAACAARGAAGGCCAGAATGGATGAGCCTCCTCCCAGTGCTGCAGCCACACCAGGGTCTCTGTCACCTTCCTCCTGCCACTACCCCTGTGCYGAGGGGCTTTGCACAACATCTCATGGGCACAGAGACTCACTCAAGGGCCATGAAAATCCACATCAAGGCCTAAGCGACGGCGACCACAGGCCCAGGAAAGCCCGTCCTGCTTGCTGTTACTGCTGGGTCCCAGGGCTGACCCSAGCTTCTCGCGGCTCCCCTGCAGGGGATGCCCTTCCCTGCCCCCCGTGTGCTCATGAAGCTCCTGCCACACTTCAGGGTCCGACTGGGCGTCCTCCTGCACCCTGGACACGAGACAGGGTGAAGGACAGGCAGTCGGCAGAGGTAACGAATGCTGGGTTGGCCGGAGAGATGAGGCTCATCATCAGAGAGAAGGAAATGGTCCTGACACCTCGGCACGTCCCCGCGCACCCAGGGCCAACTCCTTGGCCTCCCAACACCAGGAGCTGCTCCTGAGTGCCCCTGGGCTGCTCTGTTCCCACCTCGGGGCAGGCAGGATGGAAAGAGGAGCTGGGAGGGGAAATCGGAGACCCCGARGGGAGAGAAGACACCCCTCCCAGACAGCACTGCCTCTCCTCTCTGAGAAGTCCGCTGTCTCTGTTTGGGCTCTTTCTCAGACAAAATTTGCTTTCTGTGTTTCCTCTGGAGAACAGGACCCGCTCCCGATGGCCAAGATCAGTACCGACACGACCTCCCAGGCGCCAACCCCAGCCCCCTGGCTCCCGCCAGCCCCCACTGTCCCATCTCAGAACTCAGCCCTTGGTCGACCTGCCAGGCCTCCGCCCAGCCAGCCCTCCTGGCCTGGGTCCTGCTGGCCTCCCGCTCCCTCTCCCGGCAGCAGGTGARTCACTGTGGCAGGACGCTGGGCAGGGCGAGGGCTGGCCACACGCAGACCGTGCCTCACTTGTCCCCACCCTGGGCACAGCCAGCCCATGGCCTTTCTTCTCAGGAGCCCCAAGACTCCTGGCCCCGGGGAAAGAGGCCATCAAAGGCAGCAACACAGTCCGAGGGGGTGGGGACGAAACCCACCAGCTGACCGACCTCACACTGCAAGACAGGTGCTTTGGGTGCTTTGGGCCCTGGTGCATAGTAGGCCCGCAACAGACTTTGTTTTCAGTCAACAGATACTGTCCGGCTCTACTCTGTGTGATGTTCTGTTGGAATCACGAGACCGACACTAGCTCTCCACGGACAGGCTTCCCCTTTCCCGGCCGCGCGGAGGTGTTCAAGGGAGAAGCCCAGAAGCCGGGCCTCCGGGAGCCCCCCCTGCCCCTCCACACCCTGTGGCCCCCCCAGCAGGGCCCGTGACCAGGTTCTTGAGACTTGGAAGCCACACGGGCCCTTGACTCTGAGCCCTGCGCCATCCTGGCTGATGAGTTTGACCCTGTGTCAGAGCCCCACGTGGCAGAGACGACCCCTCCTTACCTCCAGTCTCGTCCGGTCCACGTCTTTGGGTAGCTTCACGCGGATTCGGTTGGTGACGATGAGCGCGTCATATGGGTAGACCTGCGGGGAAGCCAGGGCTCACAGGAGGCCCGGGAGCGCTGGGCCAGCGCCCACCAGAGGGCAGAGCCAGGCACACACTGCGACAGCTCGGGACAGACACTCATAGGGAAAGCAAGGAAAGATGGTTTAACCTGGGCAGCGGCTGGGCAGGCGCGGGCGGCGGCGGCCTCTTACCTTGTACTCTGTAAGACAAGAGCGAGAGCACAGGGCCCTTTAGGGAGCGCGAAGGCGGCCAGGAGCGGAGGCTTCCCGTCCTGGGGACCCTGAGCCACCTGCGGTCAGCCCGGCCATGCACGGTCTATCTGGGGCAGTGGACGGGGCTCTGAGGTCTCCCATGCGAGACAGAGCAGGAGGCGTGGCCAGGAGGCTGGAGGACAGACTGGAAGCTGGGCGGCGGCACTGGCTCTCGGCTGAGACCCGCCTCGGTTTACCCTCGCGTGCAGTGGGCGCTCCAAGGCTACCTTCTGGGAGTGCTGTGGAGACGGACGCCCCTGTGGCTGACCCTCCCCTGCTCCTTCCCGTCAAGTCCTCCTTCCCGTCAAGTCCTCCTTCCCTGTTTTAAACCATCGAGCTCCACCGCAGACGTGAAAAGGTTTCCCTTCCAACTAAGAGCGTCTTTGTAAAGTTGAAACCTCCAGAGAGCAGGGCCTCCATGCACACGGGACCTCAGAAGCCAGGGTCAGTCCGACCCGCCCAACAACAGCTGCGAGGGGCCGGTCCTCAAGGTCCCCTCATGCTAGGGGGGTCCCGATGTGCCAGCTCTGAGGCCTGGGGATGTGGACGACCACCCAGAGGGGCAGGCTGCAACACCCTGACACCGTCACCCACGTGCGAACCAGCAAGGCTCCAGCAGTCCAGGGGTGACGCGGAGGGGAGCTGGCCGACATGGGACCTGCTCGGAGCTGGGAGAGCGGCCCGGGGTGCAGCCCTGCCACGTGAGCAGGTGGCCACTCCAGTAATGCCAGCCCCCAGTCACCCTCCTGGCTTGGAGCCCAGCGTGTCACAGGCATGCCAGTGGCCACACGGGGAGCCAGGGTGCTCTGTTCCGCCCGGGGCCTGGAAGCTGTTTGCCTGAGGCTCTGCTGCCCCAAGTGAGGCAGAGCACCCAGCACACCAGGACAGGCCCCTGCACCCCGACGGGAGATGGGAGCACCTCGGGCAGAGGAGGGCCTGGAGGTCAGCTGACTCTCCCCCTGGGGGCCCTGTCTGCGGTGCCCGGGCCTTCTGCCAGCAGGCCCCAAGGTGGCCTCAGGATGAGATGGTGGAAATGTGTTAGCGACCCCCGGCCCAGTCAGAGACCCACAGGGTCCCCGCTGCGTGTACCTCGCGTGCCCCAGCTGGCATCCGGGTCTGCTCCACCAGGGGCCACATTGGCATTCTGGAAAAGAAAGAGAGAGAGGGCGGCAAGAGATGGGCTGCAGGCGGCCGCAGGGCCTGGAGATGCTCCTCCTCGCAGGCCTGGAGAGGGGGCATCTGGGCAGCGATCGGCTGAGATGATGGACAGACGCGAGGCCCAGCTCGGGAAGCCGTGTCCAGGGCTCCCATCCTCGCCTCGGAGGCTGCCAACCTGCCTTTAAAGATGACCCCAGGGGCCTGGGCGCCTGCTCTGGAGCGGGCATGGGTGGCTCAGCACTGCTCCCTCAGCTCACCTGTGCAGGCACCTGTGACGCCTCTGCCGCCCCTCACCACAGGCTCACACGCCCTGTGCCCAGTGCTCTGGTGGACCTAGGATCCACACCTGCCCCCTGACCCCTACAAGACCACCACAGGGGAGCACTGGCCTGCACCTCCTGCTCTCCCCCCAGAGGCCCTGGCTCCCAGCTACAGCACTCCAGGAGCCTGTGTGCCTGTCAAAGTCCACCTGCCCCAAGGCTCCGAGACCAGAGGGGCCTCATCTCCTCTCTGGAACCCAGGCTCCAGCAGGTCTGTGGGTGACGGTTGAGGATGGAAGGAGCCGAGTGTGCAGAAGTCCCTGGCACAGGGCCTGAGTTGTCATAAGCACTCTTTACGGAGGGGCTGAGAGCCCCTGGCCGCCTGCTCAGGCACCTCGGTCACTTGCCCGTGGCCTGCCGCGGCAGACTCTGCCATGTCAGAGCATCATGGCCATCTGTGTCTGGAATTCTCTTTCCCCTCTGCCCACTGGAAAGATCACTGGCACCACCTGCAGATGCAGGGCCCCCACAGGGGCTGGTGCAGCCCTCTCCTGTCCGCCTCCTGCACTCTGCCTGGCACCTGGGTCAGAGTGGCACTCAGATGGCTCGCGTACCTGCTGCCCACAGCGGCTGAGCCCTGAAGTGTCTTATTCATGCCCTGGTCCCCAGCACCTGGACCAGGGTCTCAAATAGGGTCAAAACCATTGGCCACTGCCCCTGAAGCTGGGCCCGGGGACTGTGTTTCTGGAGTCCTGCTGTCCAGGGGCTCATGGGCTTGGCCCAGTGGGTACTGTTACAGGGACAGCTGCCTTCAACAGTAAGCAGGAGCTGGTTACAGCCCTAGGGAGTGCCAGAGCGGAAAAAGACCCCAGTCCAAAGCTCTCCATATGAAACAGGGAAACTGAGGCCCAGAGAGAAGCTGAGGCCTCCCCACCGCAGAGCGGGACCCAGCCTCCAGGACGGGCTGGGCGCGTGAGTGGGGCCGGAACTGGCCTTTACTCAAATTTTTGGTATTTTGTTCACCACGGACTTTCTGCATGGGTTTGTGTTTCTAAAGATATTGCTTTAAAAGATGCGGCATCTCTTGGAGGTGCCTCCCTCGCCCCATCGTCCTAGTCCCCAGTCCCGGGCCAGGTTCCTCACCCCATCCAGGAACTCTCCACCACTTTCTCGCAGGCCTGTCCAAAATTCTGACATTTTTGCAGTCTCACTCAGACCAGTGCCCCAGGTGCACCTCTCCTGCCAGGGAGCCTCCCAAGAGGCATAAAGCAAGGTGGACCTGCATGCCTCTGCCCACCTCTGCCCGCCCGGCCCAACGAATGTGAAGGAGAAATGCTGCCACCTAGTGTCCGTCTCCCCACATCACAGTAGTCGGGAGGCCCAGGCTCTCACTTCCTTGCTGCAGAACCAGCTTGCAGGAAAGGACCTCAGGAGGGAGGTGGGCATTGTCAGGTGGAGGAGCGGTCCCAGGGTGGTCCTGGGCAGGGCAAGTGGAGTCTACTCTTGGTCTTCTAAGTGCAGGGGACAGCTCTGTCCTTTTCATTGGCTTGGCACTTACTATGATGGCTGCACTACAGACACCGTCTCTAATCTTGCTGAAAGCCCAGGAGGCGAGCATGACCACCACCATGAGGCCCAGAGGTGTCAAACAACTTGCCAGATCTCAAAGCAAGTATACAGAACTGAAGAAACTTGAACCCAGGTGTCTGACTGTTCAAAACTCCCACCAGGACTGCTAACAGGATGCCGCGTGGCCAGGTACCCGACGGCCAGTCTTTTCTCACTAAGCTCCTGTGGGAGTGTGCCACCCCACTCAGCAAACACTGAGGGAAGGAGGGCCGGGACTTGCTTTGAAGTGTTACGGGGCTTCTGAAGACACTCACCACTCGGATGCTATTTGTCCCCATCATAATGTTAGAGGCAAGGACTTTTTCTTTTCTAGATTCTAGGAAATGACTCAGAAGATTTTAGTAATTTGCTGAAAGACAGAGCTGGCACTGGACTCGGGGCTTCAACTCCCAGGCACGGGTTCTTTCCAGGACTGCAGTTTGTTATATCAATTTGTTAAGATTTTGTTTGTATCCAGGTAGACTAATAAGTGGAAACCAGATTAAAACGACACTTCCAGTGAACCAATGAGATTAGACTTACTATTTCGGCTCCTTAATTGCTATCTACCTTATTGTTATTTTTTTATTATTAAGTCCATGCCTTATTTCCATAGAGCCACTTCCGATCCCTGCCACCCTGGCACCTGCTCCAGGTCTCGATTGCCAGGCTGCCGGGAATGCTCTCACGGCTTCCTTGGATCGGCTTTGTCATGAGTCGGTGTTTCCTTTTTACACCACCAACTCCGTGAACTTGTTTAACCTCAATCTCCTTATCTGAAACTGATATCGATGTCAACATCTTCCCCCTGTTTTCAGATATTTTAGCATCTCTTTCTTACCCTTTCACTTTTAATTGTTTAAAAAAATTCTTAAGTGTGCATTTTGTCGTGACACACGACGACAATGCTATTTTTTGGATCCAACTTGACAGCTTTTGTCTTTTAATAAAGGGATTCCTCCTGTTACCATTTAGCAAAATGGAACCACTTTCAGGGAGCCACCAAAAGGTCCTATGGGGGGGCCAGTGACCATTCTCCTAACCCCTGACTGGGCGGTGTGCATCTGAGTCACCCTGCCTCACCCACAGGGAGGACTGCAGCACTGGCTGTCACTGTCCACTCTGTGGGTGGGCGGTGAGCCTTCCCTGCGGGGCAAGCTTGGCTGTGGGGCCATCTGGCCTTGGAGACACAGGGTACTTTGGACTACTGGGGCCTTGTCACAAAGGCCTTTTGGAGCAAGACCTAGGGAGAACTTTGCCCCTTGAACTTTTTTCTTTTCTTCCATCAGACTCCACAACTGGTCAAGGCCACGTTGAGTCCGTGCCTCGAAGCAGGGAGGCTCAGAGCTCAGCCCTGACTGCTGTCCTCACACAGTGGCCTTTCTCCTCCAGTCTCCCTCCTGCCTCAGCCTCCCGTGGCCGGGGTTACAGAGGTGCGCCACCACATCTGGATTCTCCTGTGATCTGGGGTTAACGGGACTTTGGTCTGACTGCACTTGTACTTTTAATTAGGCCCCTACGAGTTCTTTCTGGATGAAAAACAAACCAAGGAACCACTAACAGTGACTCTGGGGCACCGCAGGCCATCGGCAAAGAAGCCTGGACAAGCACTGGTTGGGAAGCCCAGGGCCAAAGGCCGGAGTCCAGTGCTGGGCCTGGCTGCAGGGTAAAGGCTGGTCATTAGGTCACGTAGCTGGCCTTCCCGCTGAGAAGTAGGCTAAAAAACCACACAAGGACTTAGAAAGAGTAAAAAACATTGAAAAGATCGTTAGGAGGGAAAACAGGCGCCCAGAACCAAGCTGCCAGCGTGGCCACCCACCTTCCTGCAGCAACACGAAGGCTGAGAATCAAGTGAGGGCGAGCCCTGGGCCAGCAGGCCTTCCCCACCAGTGGGCGGAGGACAGGACTTGGTCAAAGTCGGCCCTTAATCCTGCTTCCCTCGTCTGGGAGGGATGGACCCTGCCCTGCCAGAACGTCGGGCCAGCTGTTCTCTGCCCAGGAGGTGGCACCGGAGACCCGGACCTCTGTGGACACAGGGCACCCAGCACCTTCGCCACGTGAACCGAGGGCCTGTCCTGAGGACAGCAGGCGGGGGACAGGCGCCTCCCTCCTTCCTCTCACACCTGACCTGGGTGGGGACACTTGTTTTGGTTTTGGAGTGCACACCGTGCCCAGGGCCCCGGGTCAGAGGACGGCTGTCCCAGGTGAGAAGAGAACGTGCCGGACGCTTCTCCCGCCCAGGCTTTCCGTGACGGTGCAACAGGAGGCCTGGGCACGGAGCCCTGGGCCCTGCTTTCCCTGTGGAGGATGAAGGGGAGAGACTGCTTCCCACACGCTGCATGTGCCGTCCTGCCATGCTCAACGGGAGGAGCGGTTAGTGGGGGGGGGGCTGCTGGAATCCACTGTGCAGGGGCACKCGGCCTGGGTCTGGAGCTGGGCCTCGGGACAGACACAGCGGCTCGCCTGAGACCTGAGGAAGTAAAGGCCCAGGGACCCCCTGGMTCCTGGAGGTGGCGTCCCTGCTCGTGGGCATGTCCTGGAGCCCTGACCCTGAGGAAGGAGTAGGACAGGTGTCCCTGGCTACCCTGGCCACAAGCAGGGCTGTGGGTTTTTAGTGGCCTCTCGGTTCCTTTATAGAAGAACTTCTCCAAGCTGGGAAGAGGCCTCCTCGGGGACGTCTCCTGGGGCTGTGTGTCCGTGCGCCATCAGCACCCCACCCCGCGATCCTCTGGAGGACTCGTGGGGCTGCGGGAAGAGTGTCAGAAATGAGCTGCCCATCACGAGGGCTGACCGAGCCGGGGCGCCAGGCTCGGTACCAGCTGTGAGCACCCAGAGCCTCAGGAGCAGGAGCCGGCCCTCCCCGGCAAAGGAACGCTGAGCAGCAGTGACCGACCTCTGCATTCCAAACAGCGGCCCGGGGCCGAGGGGCGATGGGTGGTGACCATGCGATGGTAATGAGGGTGGCAGCCAATGGCATCCCTGCCCAGGACGTGGTGCTGGGCTCCGGGGCTCCTGAGCTACAGCAGCCTTCCCCGGCTCCGCTCAGAGGAAGAAGTCGGCCCCGAGGGGCTTCTCGCATCAGGGCCTGGTCACCCTGGTAGTCCCCATCCCCCGGTCCCCCCACTGCGGTCTTCCTGAGGACAGGGACAGAGCAGTGGGGAGCCATGGAGCCGCAGCCTGTTCTGTTCCTAGTGTGGGAAAAGCGGGGAGGCAGCGGCCCCAGTGGGGCCTCAGGCAGAGGCGGGCGGCGAGCAGGGCCAGGCTGCTCCTCCTGGCTGTGGTCAAGAAGCTGTGTCGGGGTCGGCAGCAATGGCAGGTTAGTACCCGGCGGGCCAGGAGGGGTCAGTACCTACCCGAAGGTCCAGGCCATTCGTCCCATGTCTTGGGAGGGAGTCGGATTTGGAATAGGGGAACCCTGAAACAGACACAGCACAGCCCCGTCACAGGCGCACCCCGCGGGCTGTGGGGGCACGGACAGGGCAGGCTTCCGACAGGGTCAGGCAGGGCGGGGGGTGGCAGCACGCAGGAGGCCCTCTGAGGATCCCTCCCTCCTGAGTTTTGGCCTCCTGTCCCTAGGGCGTGGACTGGGGAAGAAGCAGGGCAGCTGATGTCCCAAGCCCGTCCCTGACACCAGGAACACACCTGGCCCCTGTGCTCACACCACAGGGGTCCAGCATCACCTGTCCCCCAGGCTGGCCCTGACCCGACAGGGCCCAGGCTGGGCCATCCTGAGCCCTCGTCAAATGGGGCCTGGAGACAATGTTATTAAGTAAGTGTTTGTGGTGGGGGTGGTTCCCATGAGATTCCTAATTGCCAGCTTCTCTGGAAATAAAAAGGTTGATTTGAGACCCTGGGGCTTTGTCCCTCCTGTGGGGCAGCACTTGCTAGGCCACTGGGGACTGAGCCAGTCCAGTGGGACCCAGGAGATGGAGGGCCCCAGTTCACCTCCTCAATGCTGCTTGGTGGGGGCAGGGCATGTTCTGGATGGAGGGAACTTGGCAGAGCTTGCCTCAGCAGGGCAGGCACCCACACCAGCAAGCACTCTTAGGAGGCCTGTCCCTCAACTGTCTGTCCTTCCACCTTCCCATGGGCCCTCAGGGAGCAGTGCCAGAGCTGCCTGACCTGCACATGCCCACCCCGGCAGTGGCCCAGCCTCGGGCAGTGTAGACCAACCTCCCCCACAGGATAGAGGTCCAGCTCACTCATGGAGCTCCGGGCCCACCTGTGAGGGCTCCGAGGGGAGGGCAGGTCACGTGCCTCAGGGTCCAGATGAGCTGCTCGTCACGAGGGCTGACTGAGGACCGAGGACCGTGGGACCGGGCAGTCCCTCCTGCCCACTCACCCACTCTGAGCATCCTGGCCCTGATCCTGAGCCTGTGGCCCTGCAGCTGGATGCTCACTGCACCTGGACAGTGCCCAGCGCCCAGCTGCTGCCTTCAGGACTTGACACGCTGTCACTCAGTGTGGGGACTGCCATCAAGGTCACTTTAYGCCACCGGCTGCCCAACTACAGAGGCTGGAGATGATCCTCCTACCACCGAATCAGACAGCCTTCAGCTTTGCTCCCACCACTGAATACGATTCAAGAAACTCAGACGCGAAGCGCCGTCTCCTGCGCGTGTCCCGTCTTCCCCTCTCCCGACGCTCCCCCTGTCTAACTCCTGGCCTTGCTGGCTATGGCTGCCTGCAGGCTCGAACCTGTCGGCCACTCTGGAAGTCTGCTAGGGACATGATTTCTTGGTTCTCTATCGTCTGAGAGTTCATTTCCCATCCAAACCAAGGCATGTTTTCACTGACCGCAGAATTCGCGCGGCAGCTCCTTCTCCAGCATCCGGTCTCGGTCTCGAGGTCTCTGAGGAGCACCCGCTGTCACTCGGTTGGGTGCGCTGCTACGGGTGATCATCTTTTCTCACCGGGCACTTGAAGACTTTTCTCTTCTTGCCCTTGATTTTCAGAAGTTTGATCGTGATGCGTCTTAGTGTGGGGGTCTTGGCTTCTCCTTTTGGGTGTTCAGTTTCTTGAAGCTGTAGGTTTATCTCTTTTGCCAAGTTTGGTAAGTTTTCACCCATTATTTCTCTGAATGCTTTTTCAAGCCCGTCTCTCCTCTCTGGGAATCCAGCGGCTGGCTGTGGCTCCCTGTGCCTGAAGCTCCGGGGTTCTCCTCTCTCTCTTTTGTTTAGATCAGATGAATGACATCGCTGCTGCCAGGTCCCTGAGTCCCTCCTCTGTTGGACTCAGGTGTCCTGCTCCTGAAGCCGTCAGTGGATTCTTTCTCTTGCTTATCTGACTCCTCAGTTCGATACCTCCTGTTCTTTTTTTTTTTTTTTTAATAACTTCTATTTCTTTGGTGAGATTTTTTTCAGTTGTTTCAAAACTATTTATCGTTGCTTGCTGAAGCATTCTTTATAATAGATATCTTAAAATCCTTGTCCAATAATTCCAATGTCCGGTTCTCCTTAGTGTCACTATCTGTCAGTTGTCCTATCTTGCTGCTGTGGTTAACTTATGACTTTCAATGTGATGAGTAAATGTTTTTATTAAATCCTAGGCATTTGGGATATTATGTTAGGAGACCGGATCTTATTTAAGTTTTCCATTTTAGCACCTGTCCATCTGTCCAGGTTCAGTCTGTAGAGCCTGGTCTTTTAGGGGCTATGGTTCCAATGACAACTCAGGTTTCAGAAGGCCTCACAGAACCAGTCTGTCTGCTGGCCCCACCTGGTTGGTGTGGCTGTTGCTCCTGCCCGATCCCTGCTGGTGCCCCCCGGGGGGGGGGCCGGTGTGCTACCTGGGGTCGCCTTGTGAGGGCAGGAAGGGCAGGAGCCCCTGGCCGTGGAGAGGGCCACACCCAGGGCCTGTTCTTCATCTGGCCTCCTCCTGGGTGTCTGTGAGTGCTGCTGGGGAGGGGACACCTTGGTCACTGGCCCCTGGATGGGAAGACACCTTCCTCGTCCTGTCCTGTGGTTGACTCTACCTGATTCCTGGGTCCCTGCAGTTACTGGGGAGAAGGAAGGGTCCCTGTGAACTCATCAATTGAAACTGGTCTCTTTGGGAGGGACAAGTCATTGGTTGATTTCAAAGGTCCCAGGGTCCATGTGTGGCCAGGGCTGAGAGCCATTCATTTGAAAAGCCTCTTCACACATCCAGCTACTTCATTCAGCTCTCACAGGCCTGCACGTGGAACAGGAGCCCATTTTACATACGAGGGAGCTGAGGCCAGTGGATTGAGGGGCCTGTACCTGGCCAAACAGCTTCTAGCTAGAGAGGGCCCTGGGCTTTGGGAACCTCGTCTGCCCCAGGTCTGCCTGGTGGGTTTGCAGTCATGTGGTCATCTAGGGACCCGCATGTCCAATGAAATTACCAGCCTTCAAGAACGTGTGGCCGTGTGTGGCACTCGAGAGAGAGACCCACAGGGAGAAGCGGGTAGGGAGGACATGGGTGGTCGGGACCCTGGCTCACACCAGGCCTTGCAAGCCCTGGACAACCAAGTCCAGGCTGAGCCCAAACATGCCGTCTGTGCGTCCGCTGAGAGGCAACGTGTGGCCATCCTGCCCTGGCACCCCACGGGGCTGCTTCTGGGGCCCTGAACTCCTTCTCTTGGCTCTGTCTTCTTCTACAGCAGCTTGTCAGAGGCCAGAGTAGCCACTGGACATTCAGGAAAAGGCCCTTGTGGGCGGGTGGGTGTTCCAGACGCAGCAGGAGACACATGGTCACCACAGCATCCCAGGGTGCTCCGGACAGCAGGTCACTCCCAGGTAGATGGCCCTGGGTTCGGTGGCCTGAGGTGACTTTGCAGCAGGGTGGCCTGTGCCAGCTTCCCCACTGCCGCCCTTGGTCTCTGAGCCACAGGGAGCTACAGGCTCTTGCCCAGTCTGAGCTTCCGGCTTTGGGAGAAGTCAGATGTCCCCCACTGGCTGCTGAAGGGTTGCTGAGGCCCGGCTGTGGACTGTGTGTGTGTGCCCACCTGGCTGTCCCCTAACAGCCAGGCCAGAGGATGTCCTGTGCCTCGCCCCAGGGTCTCCCTGCCAGGAGGACAGGATCATCCTGGTTTTCACAGATGAGGGAATTTCAGAGAAGCTTATTTTTGTACCCATGGTTACACAGCAAGTGACAAGCTGAGATTCAACCCTGGGGACCCGCACCCCAAAGCAGTGCTCTCTGCAGACCTTCACACGGTGCCTCTCCTGCGCCTGCCCACCAGAGGCCTGGAGCGCTGTCTACAGACTCTTCTCCACGGAGACTTGGGGTGACACCCCGTCACCTCCCTTGCGCTCCGTGGGTGGGTGCTGTAGTGCCGACCCCGTCTCCCAAGGCCTGCGGGGCTCCCTGGAGCGCCCTCCCTTCACGGCAGCGGTGTTTCTCCTGCAGCCGGGCTTCCCATTCSTGGGTAGGGATCTCCAGACCCCAGTTGGGGAAGACAAAGGACCTGAGTGTGTGGTCACCCTCCAAGGGCTGTACGGCGGCATCTGATGGGCACGTGCACTGCCTATTGCCCACGCGGTCCTCTCCTGGGCACAGGCTGCTGCTGGGCACAGGGAGGCAGGGGGTCTGCTAAATAAAGGCAGAGTCTCCAGCTGACCCCAGCGAAGGGCGGCGGGCTGCCCCCTGGGCTCCCAAGCCCTGCCCGCGCTGTCCCAGGAGGCTCCCCTGGGGTGTCTCTGTCCCCAGACCCAGACTCCTCTCCCAAGTGGGGTCTGTCCTGACAGATGGAGCTTCCACTGCTCTCCCTGGAACCCCGAGACGGGCAGGGGCCAGAGGTGACCCTGTCCACTCAGGCTGGCCGTTTCCTTGCTGACAGTGTCCATACCWCGGGACCTCCACCTGCCTGCTGGACACCAGGGCAGCCGAACCCGCGCCGCCAGCTCCCCGGCCTCTCCTCTCTGTCTTTCCCTGCAAAGAGTGCCACGGCTGCCCGCCCTGGCCTCCTCTCCGTGGCTGCCCACCCCGCGCTCATCCTGTGCTCCTCCTCCTGACCCTCGACCCCTCCCCACGATGCGCCAGGCCATTCCCACTTGCTGGCTTGCCCCTTCCCCAGCACTTGCAGAGATGGCGCCTGGAAGAAGCTGGCAAGGGCTAAGTGACCAGCTCAGGACAGACCATGTGGGTGTCCCGGCAGGCGGTGGGGCTCTCTGCATCTCAGGTTCCAGTCCACTGGGAACTGACGGTCCTCGGCGTCTTCCTCCGGCCCAGGGCACCCCCAAGAGCCAAGCCTGTTTCCCCAACTTCTGGTCGTGTCAGGTTTCCCAAGGGATTGTGAATACGCTGACCTTTCCCTCCCCATCTCTGAGTAAGGCAGCTCCGCCCCCCTGAGCCGAGCCACCTGGACACCCAGCTCCTCCTCGCTGTGCCCGTGCCCATACGTCCTGCTCATCTCCCTGGTCAAGGCTCCCGCTGCTCATCTGGGGCCACAGTCGCCCTCCAGCCCRCTGTCTGTGGAGCTGCCTGTCCGGCATATTGGACACTAGAGTTGGACGCCCGTTTCCCACTCACGCCTGCAGGGACAGCAGCCTGCTCCCTGGCCCCCACCSGAGGCCTTCCTCGGTTCCTCACAGCTGCCCGGCGCCAGCCTCTGAACCTCTGGCCTAGCCCCGAGCCTGGACGCTGACTACTGCCTCCTGTTACCCCCGCCAGAAACAGGCCTGCCAGGACAAGAGTCAGGTCGCCTGCGAACCCTGCTCTGAACCCTCTAGAACCAAGGGGCTAGTGACCTGGCCACAGGGCTGAGCTGGCCATTCCCCCGCCAGACCTGCCTCTGCTCTTTCCCCAGCCCTCGGGCCGGCCAGGGCTGCCCTCGCCCTCCAGAGAYGGCCCCTTCCACGACACCTAAGTATCCCAGCCACACTCCCCCAGCACTGCAGGCTCCCGGCTCACAGGGCGGCCTCGGGTCAGGCTCCAGCCCCTCTGTGAGCCAGCTCCCGGGACAGGCAATCTGGCCTATGTGGGCCTCTGCTCTGTCCTCTGGTCCCAGGACGACCTGGAACACAGACAGTGCTCATGAAGTACTTATTGGTGACAGGGCCGCCCGCGTCCCCTCTCTGGGCCCACTTTGCCTGCCGTAGGATGAGGAAGCCGTGCCGAGGCTCTTCCAGGTCTGGGATGTGCACATCCCACCCCACGAGGCGGCCGGAGCCCCCACCAGGAGCGGGGCCCACCTGAGATCCACGGGTGGCMCATCAGGGGTCTGTTCCTCCCAAGCACAGACTAAGTAGGAGKGTTCCCTGCAGGGAACTCGCAGGGCTCTGGAGGGGAAAGTGGAGTGTCCCTCTCACCACTCCTGCTGGCCAGGAGGGAAGGTCCAGGGCCAGGGTCCTGAAGCCCCCTGGGGGCCACGGGAGGTAATRAGCAATGGCAAGCATGCTCAATCAGACAAGGGACTCGCAGGGGCCTCACAGTGGAGGGGACACACAGGGTGGCATGAAGGCCAAAGCCACAGCAGGTCTGGGGGAATGCCCAGGCTGCGTCTCCCTGAGGGCCTYGGCCACTGTCCCCAGCCTCCAGGTCTCTAGCTCTAACCTGCCCGACTTCCTCTCGAGTAGGCGTGGGGAAGGGGCTATGCCCGCTGGAGCGTCAGGCCTTCAGGGATGAAGCCCTTGGGGCAGGGTGTGCAGCCAGCCAGGGTTGGTGGCCCGCTGACACTTCCAGTCACTGTGTGTGTGTGCATGTGTGCAGAGTGACCTCAGAGGGGTGGGCAGGGCCTGAAAGGTCCGGCTCGAGGGACCTGGAGCAGAAGCAGATCAGGCCAGGCCAGGCCAGGGTCCAGGACGTCGTGCTCCTGCCCAGGGCAGTGGGCCTTCCCCTGTGAGAGCCCCTTCAAGCCAGTGTCTTACAACAAAAGGGAGCACTGGCCCTTCCTGTGTAGAATGTAGGGCCTCTACTAATATAGACTGGGGCACATGGCCAGGCACACTTCCGCACACTACGGAAGGAGGACAGAGGTGGCCCAAGGTAAGCCCTGTGGCACAGGGTCACCACACAGGCTTGTCATCCACTGTTGCTCTGTGCTGTCTAGCACCATGACCTGCACATAGTAGGTGCTCAATAAAYCCCAGCTGGCGGGATGGATGARGGGCTGAAATGAATCCAGTTTCGTGGCATGTCTGATGGTGTCATGGGTGAGATGAGGCTGTGACCAGGCCTGTGGGCCAGGAGGCACCTGGGGGGCAGGCGGCAGAGAGACACACCAGCACTGCTCCTGCCACCTGCCTCTCCCAGTCCCTGCATGCTGCTCCAGACCAGGGGCTGCTCTCCTCTTCTCTGTCTCCCCCTCGGCGCTCTGCTCAGCGTCTGGCACAGAGTGGGTGCTCAATAAATACCCGTTGAATTTAATGCATCTCAATTCAACCAACATTTATTGAGCGCCCACTGTGTTGAGTGTCACACTCCTGCCTTCCTTGGCGCACTACAGACGGTGTCCTGGGGTGCAGCGGGTGGGCCCTGCCGTGTGCCATTGCTCTGCTCTGATGGATCCGCCTTGGTGAGAGCCACAAAATGCCCAAAGAGAAAGTGGGCGCTGCTCCCCTTCCCACCCCAGCTGCTCACCCGCCCCAGACACGCCCGGCTTGGTCTGCGCTCGCTGGGAAGGGAGGCAATGTCCTCAGGACAGAGGCGCAGGCGCAGTCGTAATGCAGGACACGGTGGCTCTCCGCACAGGCCGCCGTCGGGACTCCAGCAGGAGCGAAAGGCCGCTCACAGTGGTGACCGCAGCACACGGCAAGGGCAGTAAGGCCGGGGCTCATGTGGGGCTCGAGCTATGGAGGGGCCTCCCGCTTAAACCATGTCCCCACACTGGAGCTGGTGCCCGCAGGTCGGGTGCACCTGCATGGAAGCCATTGCTGTCCCAGCCGTGGCCACACGTGCAGCTTGAGGTGGGGACACAACAGCAGAGCTGACAGATGGGACTTGGGGTCCAAATGGCAAAGCAAGACACCTGCCACAGCCTGGCCTTGCGGGGACCAGCACCCGCCGTCTCCTGTGCCTCCGTGGCCCTGGGAGCCCTTGTTCTGGCGTCTGCAAGTGAGGAAGGGGTGCAGCCCCCTGCAGGGCCGCGGCAGGGGGCCCACAGGACCCTGTCTCCAGTTCAGCGCTTTCCCCGCATGGAGCCCCCTCCTTCCTGGGTCCTGGACACAGGAAGGCCACACACTCCAGAGGGAGCTGCTGAGGCCACAGGTGCCCCTGCGCCCCGTGAGTCTGAGGGAGGTCATGGACAGGGGACCAGGAGGACTGCAGTGGCCTCCTGCACTAGCAGGGAAGCGGCCAGAAGCTGGGAGGTCCGCAACCCTGATTCCTGGTTCCAGGTCTCAGGCCTCACACCCGAGGCAGGAGGGTGGCCCTCCACCTGCAAACACAGCCCAGGACAGAGCACTCCCTGGGGGTGCAGGGAGAACTGGAGGACTGATGGGCAGCCACCTGCAGGGGACACAGGCAGGGAAGGAGGGACCAGCGCCCCGGCCTGCCACGTCCCTGCAAGACCCCCAGGAGTCCCTCCTTGCTGGAGATGTCTTGGTGCCTCCCATGCTGACGTCAGCCTTGTGCCCCTGCTGAGACCCCACAAGGAGAGGGCTGCACCCCAGGAGGGATGGGTGCCYGGGGGGGTCCAGACATCTAATCACAGAGATCCCGCACGGAGCAGAATCTCTCTCCCTCCCGGGGATTCTCTGACGCACCAGCAGTTCCAGGCGTCTGCCCGGCCTGGCCGCCCTGCACCAGGGCGCTTTCCTGAGGATGGCGCACTTTACACCAAAGGTGAGGGTGAGGATGAGGTGAGGGTGGTGACCAGGATGATGCCGCTGTTTACTGAGCACCTACTACCCGCCAGGCAGGGCGCTGCCTGAGCACCCAGTKCACCTTCCCCGAGACCCACGAGGCAGTGGGCGGAGCTTGTCCACAACACAGTTGTCCACCCTGGGGCTAGGTTTGCCCCAAGGTCAGTCTCACTGCGAAGCCTTCCTCTGCCTTTCACACCCACGTCCCCTGACCCAGCCTCCTCATCCAACCTCAGTCCTAGCTTCCCCCTGAAAACCACCTTCCCAGCTCAGAGGCTGCTGGCCGCGGCCCACTGCAGGCCCTCACCTGTGATCTCAGCACACTGCAGCGAGCACGATGGGGACARTTTGGAATTTGAACATTTGAAGATCATTCCTGATTCAGTCTTTGTGACACCCCAGAGTCCAGCAAATGACAGCTTCGTCTGCTGTGAAGTCTGAGGCCTCTCCAGTGCCTTGCTCAGGGTGCCACAGGGACAGGACAGTGCCCCATCACCAGCCGGGTCTGGCCCCGCCTCCTGGACCATGCCCACACCTGCTCTGGAGGGAGTGGCCCCGGGAGCTTCTTGGTGACCTCACCTGGAAGTCACCTGGCTCTCTACTGCTGCCCAGCTCTGGGTGTCAGCAGGAGATAGCACTGTGGCCCGGCACAGCCAGCTATATCCTCACAGAGCCGCCCGCTGTCCTGTGGGGTGGCCCTACCTTTGCTCCTACGCCTTCATCAAGCTGCGGCCCCTGTGCCAGGGCCTCCCATGCACACCACCGCCCGGGCTCGGCAGGGCCACTCACGTGGAGAAAAGCTGTCTCCTGGCCCTCTCTGCAGAGGGCCTCGCTCTGTTCCACTGCTGTGGGACAGAGACTGGATGTCCAGGTCTGGAGAGTTCGTCCTTGTGTCCGAGTCCCCCTTGAGGAGGAGCCAGCTGGTCTTCTGCAAAGGCAAAGGAGTCATGTGAACTTTGAGGTCATCTGCAATGGGCGCATCGCACCGGACCTTCCAGGGGCTTCTTTCTTACTTCTAACCAGCGAGCTGACCCACTGCAGGAAGCTCCTGTGTGAGATCAGCTTTAAGAACCTGAGTTGTCCACCTGTTCCACAGGAGAGTGGGGCTGCCCATCTTACAGACAAGAGCACTGAGGCTTGGGGGTCAGCACCCCAGGGGCTCCAGCAAGCAGCCTGGGCTCCTTCCCTGAACTCCCCCTCTTCCCTGAAGACCAGTGGGCAGGGAGGGGCTCAGCCTGGGCCAAGTCCTGCCCGAAGTCACTCTTGTGATCAAAGTGTGCGACCTCCCGGGAGGAAGACGTCCACCCGCTGGCCCCGAGTGGAAGATGCCTAAAACCCACTCTAGAACCATCATCCCGTGGTCCCAGAGGCACTGACAGCGTCCTCAGTTACGGCAGGTGACTGGATACCCAGCCAGGCCACCTCAGTGCGAGGGGGGCTGGCGACACGCCTCCCAACTCTGTCCTTTGGGGACTCTAAGGAACAGGGCAAGAGGAGGAGCCTGGGGTTCAGCTGGAGGGGCCACCGCGGGGCTTCYGGGGAGATCCGGTCCTCGTTACCTTCCTGTTATCCTGGTCGAAGCTCCCGTCCTCCCCGTCCACTCGCCTCGCGGCTGGAAGGGAAAGTGAACCCGTGAAGGCCTCCTGCCTCAGTCATGCTCAAACCCAAGACGGCCTAGGAGGGTCAAGAGCAGGGTGCCCTGGAGGACCGGGGCCGGGCAGGCTGGAGCAGCTCCGGGGAGGGCTGCCCGCGAGGGGGCAGGGGCCTCGGAAGCGTTGTCATTCCCTTCCCCACGTGGAGCGAGGAACGGCACTGCCAGAGGCGCCGCCTGGCCTTTGAAGAACACCTTCTACCTCTCAGGGGACACCAGAGGAGCGGGCCTCAGTCAGGGACCCTCGGTGTCACCTCCAGCTACACATCTCACCTCTCACCGCCTGTCCCTGCCAACCCTGAAGGAAGGGGCGTCGCCACTTCACAGACAGGGAGACGAGCCTCAGGGACACGCCAAGGCCCAGCGCAGGGACTAGCGGGGCCGGGGCTGACCAGAGCCCAGGGAGCCGGGGTCCAAGCCTGCCCCTGCCTGCCTGGCTCCCTCCTGCTGCCCGCAGACACGACAGCGAGTGAGCAGTGCCCCAGAGGACGCCACGGAGAGCAGTAAAGGAGGAGAACCCAGGGGCGGGCTGAGGCTCAGCGGCAGAGCGCTGGCTAGCACGGGCGAGCCCTGGGGTCGAGCCTCAGCACCACAGAGACAATGAGATAAAGGGTTGTGTCCAATAAAAATAAATAAATAAATATTTTAAAAAAAGAAAAGAAAAGAGAATCCAGCCAGAAACAAGCTCAGTGTCACAGAGCAAGCAGGAGCTCATTGTGCCACAATTTGTTCACAAGAATACTGTCCACAGCAGTTGGGGGAGTTGTCACGCTGCAGGCTGACATTTCCAACCAGGATGGAGCTGAGAGACCACACAAGGGCATGCTGACACCTCCCGGCATCCAGGCCACATCCAGAGACCTTCCAGAACCCCAGACTAACACAGCACCCCATGCACAGAGAAATGAAATGGAAACCCGGGCTCCTTCCCAGCCGGCCTCGGGGCTGGGCCGGGCCTGAGCAAGGCCGCGCGGAGCTGGGCGCTTACCTGCAGCCTGCGGCGGGCTGGGACCTGTCAGCCTTTTGGAGCAGCCTGCCTCCTGCACCACCAAGGACAAGACTGACACCAGGCCAGAGAGCTTGGAAATTGGGGATTGGGCTACAGGACCTTGACAAGATAAGGCCGAGAGTGAAGTCTGAGCACGTCCATTCTGGACGCACAGACACTCTTGCTCTCCATGGCAACCTTTCTCCCTCCATGGAGACAGCCACTTTCAAAGCCCTGTCCTCTCCGCTCCCGGAGGCGAGCAGCAGGGCCTTCGAGGAGGTTGTGATGGAGAGACAGCGGGCGGGGAGCCCAAGCCTGACAGTGTGGCGCTACTGTTGCCTTGACAACAGCCACACTGGGCAGTGGTGCCCTTGAGTGTGGCAGACATCAGCCCACACTTGGGAGCTGCCCAGCCAGCTGCAAGGACGAGCAGGCTGGGTGTCACCAGGGTGACTGGGAGCCCTGGAAGCACACCACTGCCCACACTGGAGAGAGCCTGGCCCTGTGAGCCAGCAAAAATGCCAACCCTGTTCCTGAGAGCCAAGAGGCCACTCTACCCTTGGAATGTCTGCAAGGGCAAAAGGCAATTAAGGGGCTCTTTGAGGGCTTGGGGTCCCTGGCTGGGAGGACTTCTCAGTCCTGGATAATGGGTCAGCCAGACATGTCCTATAGAGCTGCCTCTGGGCTCCAGAACAGACCCACCATTTGCAGAAAGAGATGTTCTGCCCAGACTCAGCAAATTCTGCAAATGCCACCAGCTGCCCAGGTGTGCACAGTCTACCAGGCTGTAGCCAACGCTGCTCAGAGTGAATTTCACCAGCCCGCAAAGCATACCATGTGCTCGCTGAAGAGCTAGGAGCCTGGGCAGGAAATCATAGGAAACTGGCACTTTGCTCTATTGGTAGCTTGCTTGCTCCTTTACCAGCTCTGAACCTCAGTTTCCAGATCTGAAAAATGGGTGAATGATGCTTACACCTCCAGGCCAGGAGGAAGACTCTCCCATGAACACCACCCATGGAGCGCTGGCCTCCAGGCTTGGAGACCCCAGTAGCAGGCGGGGCCGGAGGCCATGCGAGGCCAATTTGTGGCACGCTGTGTGGGCTGCCAGGAAAACACAGACCTCCTTAGGACAAGCAGAGAAAGTTTAATGTGTCTTTTGTTGGGGGTCCTTGTGAGCCCTAGAAGGCATTTCCACTCCCATGTCCCTGGGGACTCTCTGCTAGAGGTGCTGCAGTGAAGGGGAGCCTCTGATTCCCTTCCCGGAGCCCGAGCAGGCTGGCCTTGCCTCCCTGCCACACCCTTCTCCACCCCATTCGCATCTGGACGTCCCTTGGGCGTGTCCACATCCCTCTGTACTCACCTATTCCTGTCTATCCACGCGTTCAGCTGCCCTTAACTTCCCACCCCCATCTGTCCACCCACCCGCCACGTAACCTGCTGCTCATCCCCATGGCCAGCCACATATCCACCCGACTGTCAGCTGCTACCCCTGTGTCCACTGAATCCGCTCCTTTGCCCACTGACGTGTCCACTGAGCCAAGCTGTCCTTTATCCCCGTTCTGCCCTCTGCTGCCCTCTGTCTGCCCTCAGCCTTCCTCTCCCTTCACCAAGTGCCCAGTGTCCTGAGTGCGGGACGCAGAACACCCAGACTCGACCTTTGTCCTCCAGAAGCTCGCGGCCAGGGTGCGAGGTGGACAGGGCATTAGAAGGCCTCAAGACGCTATAGTGAGGGCTTTGATGAGGGCAGGGTCAGCACAAAGGTGCTCCCAAAGAGCATGCATGTATGAGCACTTACTGAATACCTACTCCTGGGTCAGGCCCTGTACCCTGGTCTGGTTAGACGTGTGTTAACAGGTATAGCGCACGTGGGTCCCTCACCCAGGCGCGGAGGCCGAGGTGCAGAGTGAGGTGCAGAGCCGGTCACCCGAGCTCACACGTGTGTTCTCCCCAGCAGATGCATGAATCATGGGACTCAGGGCCATGTCACCCCAGCTTTACTTATCATGACTTGTATGCAAATCCTCCTCCCCCAGGTGGCTCCTGGGAGAGGCCTGGTGGCCCCTTGGGGGCTTCACGAGGTGACATGTGCACAGGGCTTACAGAGGAAGCCAGAAGGTGGGTGCAGCACAGGGGCCACTGCTTCCAGGGGACCCTCCGTCGTGCAGGGCCTGTTCCAGAGTAGGTATTCAGTAAGGGTTCACACATGCATGCCTCTTGGCTGCCAGCATTGGCAGCTCCGACCTCCAAGGCTCTTTTGCTGGTATCTAGAGGGAAAGTGAGGCTGGGGGCCAGTCTGGCCCCTGTTCTAGGGGCCTTGAGCTCTGGCCGTGCTCTGCCTGCAAATCACCACTCCAGAACCTGCCAGGGCCCGAGGCAGGATGGGCTCAGGGGTGGGTCCAGGCTGGGTCCAGAGGTACTCACCCCCACAAGGGAAGGAACCTGCAGGACAATCCATCTTGCCCTCTCTCCTGGCCTGGGGCTATAGGGGGTTGGGAATCTGCTCCTCCCTTTAGCTCCTGGGCTCTAGGAATAGACCCACCACTCATCTGATTCCCCCGTGAGGTTCCCAGCTCTGCGACTCAAACGGAATTGGGATGAGAGAGAGAGAGAGAGAGAGAGAGAGAGAGAGAGAGAGAGAGAGAGAGAGAGAATGCACATAGGTGGCCAAGTCCACTAGAATCCCAGTTCCATGAGGGCAGATGCCACAGAGGGTCACCCATGTGTCCCCAGGGCTGGGACAGAGCCTAGCACAAAATGCATGCTTGAAAAATGTTCGTGGATAAATTGTTGCAAGTCATTCAAGTCCCTCAGACCAGCTGCCTCAACTGCAAGCCAGGAGGACAGCAGCTCACGGGCTGCCGTCAGGACTGACAGTGGCACTGAGGACGGGGACAGTGGCCCTGGTGTCTTAGCCTCCTCTCTCCCTCCCTCCCTCCACCTTTTGATGACCACTCTGTGTTACCTGCACTAGAGGAAAGCAGAGGTGTCTCCTGTGCCCCCAGGTACAGGGCAGTTCCTCCGGRCCCTGCCCTGCCTCCACCCAGCAGCCTCTGGGGAACGTGGCTGCCCACTCCCAGCCCGGGGAACCTGGGCCAGGGGCTTCCCGATGCCCACAGCAGGTTTCCATTGCTCTTCCTGAACACTGAGCATGCCTGGCCACCTGCCCTTTCCTCATGTCCCAAGAAAGGACCCCAAAACCAAAGCGAGAGTCACGCCATGAGAGAGATCCCAGAGGGACACAGAGGCGGTTAATTCCTGTTTTCAACCAGGATCCAAGGAAAGAGTGAGCAGCCCTGACACACTGTGACCTGTGCAGGTGGGAGGTGTCCCCAAGAGCTCACGTGCGAGGCGATGCAAGAAGGTTCAGAGGAGAGACAGCTGGCTGACGGGGGCCTTGGCCCAGTCAGTGGGTCAGTCCTCTGATGGGGATTACTGAGTGGGAACTGCAGGCTGGTGGGATGTGGCTGGAGGAGGGGGCATTGGGGCATGGCTTTGGGGTACCTATTTGTACCTGGCGAGTGGAGTCCCTCTCTGCTTCTTGATCGTCACGTGAGCTGCTGCCCTCCACCACACTCTCCCACCATGATGTCCTGCCCACCTCCAGCCCAGAGGAGTGGAGCCTGCTGTCTATGGACGGCGACCTCTGAAACTGGGCCCCCAAATAACCTTTTCCTCCTCTAAAGTTGTCATCGTCAGGTCTTTTAGTCACAGCAGTGAAAAGGCTGACGAACCCCATGGGCCACTCCCTCCGTCCTGCTGGGTGGAGGCTGAGGACAGGCAGGAGGACAAGTGTCCTGGTGGACCAGCAGCTGCGGGAGGGTGCAACCCCAGCCTCACAGGCCGCAGCTGCTCACCCCGTCCGTCTGTCTGTGCTCACTCGGACTTGGAAGTCGAACAGCAAGTCAGGTGCACTCTCAGGGCCTGCGCCAGGGGAGAGCTTCCCGGGGAGTTTCAGGGGAAGCTCAAACAATCTAAAATGACCACAATGTCCCTCCAGTTCTACCACTGAAACTCCCTACTCTGTGCCAAGCACCAGGGTCACCTTCTGGAAACCCCCTCAAAGCCCACACAGGATGTGGTCCGAACCCCCAGAGGGGGAGCCAGACCTGGGGTGTGGCACATCTGCTCCCAGTGGTGTGGTGGAGCCGAGGGCCACGGCCCATCCAAGTCTGTCCCCTAAAGCAACAGGGCTCAGTGCTGTGAGTGACCCCCACTGGCGCACGACAACACATAGAAAGCCACAAGGCACCTGAGCCTTGGAACTTCCAGGAGCATCAGGCCCAGCGCCCACTGCTTCCTGCAGCTTCCTGCTGGGGGCGCCAGAGGACTGCCTGCCATCCACCCCTGGGCCAGGGAGGCTCCATGGTTCCTCTTGCCTCTCCAACTACATACTTAACCTCCCCCCTCCCTCATTTAAACAGTGAATGATAACCAAGAAGGGTTGGAGCTAGTGCAGAAAAGTTGTCAGGCTGTAAAGGCCTGCAGCAGGTCCTAGCGTGGGGGCCAGGCAGAGCGGGGATGTAAAGCCAGGAGCCGTGACTGGTCACTTCCCCTCCTGTACTGACCCTGTCACAGGAGGCAAGCAGCTGCTGGGTCCCACCCTCACTTCACAGGCCGCTGCGCAGGCAGACACTGATGGTCCCTGTCCTCACCACCTAGGGCCAGCCCAGGCCCAGAGGCCTGGCCCCCCTGGAGGCCTGTTTCTCAGAAGCAGGAATGGGACTCGGGCAGCAGAAGAGAGTAAACAAAGGACTTCAGTTACACCGTGTGGCCACCCATAGGCACCTGTGACTCCTGCCACCCTGAATGATCATAATGCATGATTTAAAAAGTAAGAAAGACTTTCAGAGTGTGGTACAGTTAGAAAGTAAACGCATCAGTGAAAATGCTGGGCTTTTAAAACTTGTTGAACACATCCACTGAAGCCAATTCAACGGCCCCGCAGTCCCCCACTTGCTGCTGCCGCTCAAGCCTGAATGCCCTTCCCCTCTCCCCTCTGCAGCCAGCAAGAGGTTGCCCAGAGGAAGCAGGAGGCTGCGTGAGCCTCTCTCACACATGTGCACATGCTCATGCACACACCCCTGTGCTCACACAAGCATCTGAGTGTGGGCATGGGCGCACACACACACACAGTTACTTCCAATGGGGTGTCCCCTGCCTGGGTGGGAAGTCATGTAAACACAGCCCTGTAGAGGCACTGCTGGGATCTGCCAGGCCCAGCATGTCATGACCTAGGGTCACCTCTGGAAACTGGTCCAAGAGTCTCTACGGGTGCCCGACCAGGAGGACAGGTGGCTGCTTGTGCAGAGTTGGGGACAGACTTGGCTCACATTCAGCTCTGGACCTCGGCCAAATGCTCAGTGGCGAGCAGGGGCTTCACGCCGTCTGCTTTCCCACCGAACCACGGAACAGCCTTCTAGAATGATGGAAGGGCTGGGTGACGCTTAGGGTTGTCCGGCAGGAATCCCCTGCCTGTGGAGAGGAGAGTCCTTTACATTCAGAGCTAAAAGACGCAGAGGTGGCCCTGGGACAGCAATTGGACCCACTGGAGAGTTCAGTGAAAGGACCCAGCAGTGGACGTGGCTCTCCAGACGCTGGCGAGTGGTCAGGCCATCAGGTTTCCCATCTCTGCCCCTTCTCAGGACCAGCCCCTCCTGAATGGCTGTTACCACAACCTGAGGTGCCACCTGAGGCAGAGCAGGGGGTGACAGCAAGCCCTGCCAACCTCAGTCTCAGGTCCCCAGGAGCACCGACCTTCCTCGCAGGCTCTCTGGCCTGGCACTGGGACGGTCACTTTCTGGGATGCTCCTTTCTCTGGCTGGGCCTCAGTTTCCCCTGAAGCAGGAGGGAGCTGGTCTGGGCACTCTGCAAGGGCCCCAGCATCTAGCCTGTCCCCTCTGGTCCCCCTCGGAGCCTGACGCTCTCAGCTCCACTGGTGGGACTCAGCGCACTCAGGAAACTGACCGCTCGTTCATGGCTTTTCCTTCCCGGGAATAGGAAGGTGGCACAAGGCGCAGGGTCTTCTTCCACCCTGGAAAGAAGGCACAAACTACGCCTCCCTGCTCACACAACTAGACCACTGACCCTCCAGCCAGCCACAGAGAGCACGCAGGACCCCCAAGGCCTTCACCCGACTGTCAACAGGAGGTGGCAATATTCCTTGGGTGCATCTAGACAGGAACTTCCAACACGGATGCAATCCCTCTTCCCAACTCTGGAGGATTGCTGACAATCCCGTGTGCCCTGCATGCTAGAGTGCAGAGTGGGTCTCCAGTCGTGGTTCCTGAGGTCCTCCCAGCCAGCCTGGGCAGAGGGCAGGGACAGGGGCAGTCTTGCTTTGCACATGGGGAAACAGAGGCTCAGGATCAGAAAGCAATATGCCCCCAAAACCCAGAAATTCCAATTCTGACTCCTGCTCCATGAACCTGGTAATCTGCCCTGTGCACATCTGTCCCAGGTAGGCTGTGGGAAGGGGCGACAGAGGACCAAGAGATGCCCTCACCATAAAACTTCCCAGGCCGTGTTTGCTAAGTCCAGGACCCCCTTTTACCTGGGAGCAGGGCAGGTCACTCTATTGTCAGATAGTCTCCAACAACAAGACCAAATTTCTCCACGGGAATAYGTGTCTGACTCCAGATTGTACTGTTTCTCAAGGATCAGGCTGGGTCACGTCCCAGATYGGGAAGCCTCTGTTCCTGGCCAGGTGGGCCGGGGTCACTCTGGCTGCTCCCCTCACAAAAGCATAATCAAAGCCACCAAACCCCACCTGGGCCCGTCTGCGTGCAGTACCTGGGGTTCGTTCACAGGGTCCTCTCTCAGAAGGACCCCACTGTCACGTAGGAAGAAAGGCCTCTGGGCCTCCTAGGGAATTTGCACTTAAAATTCAGACAGCCAGGGGCCTCCAAGCCGTCCCCACAGTGACCAGGGCTCAGCAAAGGGTGCATTCAGAAGCAAGGGGTGCTGGGCATGCAGGGCAGGGCCCACGAGCAGACTCCACCGTACCATGCTGCTTGTAGATAGGGGGTTTCCTATAGATGTTATCTTTTACGCCAGTGTCTGGGAGAGGAGACAAAAGGAGAGAACAGGAGGGTGAGCGGCCGTCGCCAGGGTGTCTGCCCGCTGCTTTCTGTCCGCCACTCTCATCACCCCGCTTTAGAACTGCCAGCAGGTCCAGCAACCCACACCCCAAAACAAGCACCCCCACTGTGGATGCCACCCCGATCTGAGGGGACAGGGAAAGAGGTGGCTAGGAATGGGCAGCCAGCAACAGCCCAGGCCTGGTGCAGCTCAGAAAGACCCTTTTCTCCAGCTGTTCCCAGAAAGCTGCAGACGGCCCCCCGAGTCTGTGGCACTTGGGGAGAAGCTCACACGAAGGGCAGTTTGGGGATGTGCCAAGACCCTGGTGATTTTTAGGGAAGCTTGGAGTTTGGAGCCAGGGCGAGGTGTGGCGGTCTGTGCGGCACCTGCCCTGGCCGCCAGGTGTGAGCGGACGTGCACGCGGAGCCGGCGGCGAGCCGGGCCTACCTGGGACGTGGAAGTGGCGCGGGGCCTGCTGGTAGGTGGAGGAAGGAGGCCTGCTGTCCGAGAGCACCGAGAGGCTGGGGGTGCTGCGGCCACTTTCACTGCCTCCAGACGGGAGCACAGGGACAGCAGATGGGGACGGAAAAGCAGAGCATCTCAAGCAAAATGGCTAGTGCAGCAAGCCCCRTCTCCTCTGCAGCGGACACCCCACCCCCTCTGCCCAGAGGAGGACTGTGGTCCTGGGGACTTTCCAGACTAGGCCCAATGACTTGTTAATCCAACCTGCCTTGAACCCTGCTCGTGGTCCCTGGCAGAGGCACAGTGACCTGAGGGCTGAGAGCTTGTTGGTGCATGGCAGATTCTGGGGTGCACACCCAGCTGCTCCGTGCACCCGGCAGCCTGCAAACTCACCAGCCCCAAGGCCTGCCTTCCTGACCATCCTGTACACACAGGGCTGCATCTCCAGGAGCCTGCAAATCAGCTGCATGGATCAAACTAAGGCACTGGAATGAGCCCAGGAGTCCTCAAAGTCACTGAGTGCAATTTTGCAAGATACAGAAAAAAAGAAGACCAGAATCAATCAATTTCCATCTTCCTAAATACATATATATATTTATTTTTTCAAACTAAGTGGAAAGCACCTTCTGAGCCTGCTCCGGTTCCTTACTTCATCTAGAATCAGAATTTCTGCCTTGGGAAGGAGGTTGGATTATCAAGTCACCAAGCAAGACAGCAGAGTTCCCTGGGAGAACACCCCATGCCCCACAGCTGTGTAAGAAATGGGGTGACAGATAGAGTGGGCGGGCACTGGACACTTGGCGAGGAGGACTGTGGCTCATAGCAAGACACCTCACTAACCTTGGGGACCCGCAGGACATTAGATGATAAGCTTGACAGGGGAAAGGGACAGTCTGGACTTGAGACCCTCTCCATTGTGTGCTGGTCCAAGTGACCCTGCAGTGAAACGGTACCCACAGAAGTGGGGCTAAGCCGGCCTGACTGGGGACCTGCCGGGGACTGCAGCAGGCTGGACAGATGCTGGCTCTGGAGGAGCTGGGCCTGGAAGCGGGCCGGGTGCCGCGGCGGGGCACGCAGGGGCAGAGGGCTCAGCTCGGGCTGACCCCCACCGTGGCCCACACCAGGCTGAGGCCACAAAGGGGCAGGCAACTCCAATCTGGAGCACTTTGTCCCACCTGATGTGACGCTGACTTCACCTGCTGACACTGTCGGGACTTCAGATGCCTGCTTTRCTGTAACTACCTCCCTTCCAACAGCACAGACTCCCTGGGCTTCCCCAAGTCTGTGGGCTCCGGCCACTCCAGGTGGCCGCAGGGCCTTTACACCATTGGGGTGGGACCTATGAGCAACAAGAGAAAACCCCGGACCTCTTCTCCCCACGGTGACTGACTAGTACCCCCAGGGCAGCCACCCAGGACAGAAGCACGGCCTTTAAAAAACGCATCCGTGCCAACTGCAGGGGGCTGGGACATTTGTGTCAGGCGCCATGACTAGGCTGAGCTGGCCCTGGTCTAGAATGCTCCTTCTCCACCACTTAGGATCTAACATGTCACAGGCTCCCTGTCTCTCCCCAGGGCTCAGCCGATGATGCAGTGGCCCTGGAAACTGTACACCAGACAGGGGTGCCCAGGGCCCCAAGACCACGGGGAAGCTGAGGCACAGCTGTGGTGGCCCCAGTGACCCACCGGGCCTGCTGCACACCTGCCCTCAGGGGCCTCTAGCACTGGTCACTGAATTCGTCCACCTAGGGTTGTGTCTGAGATGCCACCACCAAGTCCTCGCGCCTCCCCAGCCCTGGGCTCTGCACGGCTCCCCCTGGTGCACTTGCTGAGTGCAGCTCCAGCCTTCAGGAGGGTGGCCCAGGGCCATTTGACCCCAGGTGGCTTCCCCTCTCAAAATGCACCACTGCCATGGGCCCCGTGGTGCCACCAGGAGCGCTCTGCTGCATCTCCCCTCAGCATGCCTGCCCCAGCCTGGGTCTAGCCGTCGCTCAGTGGCCAGCTCCTCCTTGAGCTTTACTGGTAAAGTCCCCAGGCAGGCGCTTAGGGCTCCTCCTGCAGGGGGTCATGTCCTGAGGGGCTTCTGTCCTGGGTGAGCCTATTCCTGGGTGGGCAGCCCCTGGCCGTGGGCCCCTTCCTCCTCTTCCAGTTTAAACTCATGCTTGATCTGAGGACAGTTTCAGGTAGTCACACCTCCCCAGGCACGGGCTCCGGCTGGCGCCCCCGACCTTGGCTCACGGCATCATCTAAATGCCACGCTGTGTGGATTTTGCCTGGTGTCCTCTCTCCGTCCCAGGAGGACACATTACATTAGCTGGCACGTCTCCCACGTGCCTCTGGCTGGGCCATCTTGCGGATTCCCTGCCGGTGATGACTGGTCCTGGGAAGCGCTGGCAGGCCTTTCCGGAAAGTTCCTCAGCTGGATCCTTTTGCTCTTTTCCCAGGACACACGGGGCTCATGTCGGGGAGGCAGACCACGGGGGGTGGGGAGCTGCCCTTCCTCGGGCAGCCAGGCAAATGTTGTCAACAGGGTCTCCTGCCCAGGCCACGGCCTGGCTGGCGGGCGCCACAGGGCTCCTCCACGGCAGATCTGCTCTCTTGGTCCCCCTCCTAAACTGCCTCCCTGGAGAGAAGACCCAGGTGAAGGCCCTGGCCACGTGGGGTGGAGAAGTGCCAGCTCCTGAGAGAGCCCCGCCCACGCCGCTCGGCACCCTCTGAACGGCGGATCTGTCCTCTCCCTGTTGATTTGTCCTCAGTCCTTTCTTGTCTCAGTGGGGACTCGTGGACATTCACGGCGTGTGTGGGGTTTACAATGTGACAGCGTCATTCCGTTGCTCCAGCTGTGCCAACTTGGAGCTCTCTGGCCTGCTCTTGTCCAACTTTCTCAAGGTGGTACCAAAGCAAGTCCAGCTCATGGCCAAGTTCCAGTGCTGTCAGGACCATGGCCAGGACAGGCGTGGACTTCACCGCAGCCCCTCCCACCTCAGTCACAGACCCCCCCCACCGAGGGCCCCACTTCAGAGCAGAGGGAGGGGACAGTGGGCAAGGTGAAGAGCTACCTAGGGCAGTGTGAGTGGGGGGCAGCAGCCTTGGGCTGACTCCACATCCAAGCCGCCCCTCCCTCCCTTCTCACACCACACGGTTAGGAGAAGGCTCACTAGTCAGCAAGTGGCTGTCCCGACACTGGGCCTCGGCAGCATGGAGTCCCCCGGGCACCCACATCTATCCTGCTGCTTGCCTCTTAACAGGCAAAGAGGTCAAGTTTACGCCCACACTACCCCAGGGACACACGGGGGACTGAACTTCTCGCTTCAGTGCCCACGCTGCCCCCAGCCCCTCTGCTGAATGTGGGTCTTGGTGGGAGGGGGTCCCTGGGCACTGAGCCTCAGCCGGAAGGTGTGGCTGGGCTGCCCTGCACACAGGGCCCCTGCCAGCAGCTACCAGGCTGGGAAAGCACCAGCGAGCTGGGGCGGGGGTGCGGCTGCCTGGGAGCCCTCCGCCCATGGTGTCGCCCAGCAGGAAAGCTCTGCTGAGCAGAGGCCAAGGTGCCCCAGGTGAGAACCTCACGGGCCCTCCTAGGGCAGGGCAGATGCCAGGCCTGTGTCCGAGTGAGAGGTGGGCAACTGAGTGCCCAGAGGCTGGGATATGCTGCAGCCCATGAACTGGGAGGGGACAGGCTCCCTCCAGTGTGACCTTGGAGTGGACCTGGGGTGGACATGACTTGTGAGCCTACATTTGGGCTCTGCTTTGGGATCTCGAACCAGGAAGTCCCCTGAGCCTTGGCCTCCTCCAGAGCAGGTTCTGCAAAGACCTGAGGCCCCCAAGGTCACAGATGGCCATGGAGTCAGGCACAGGGTGAAGCTGTGGGCACYAGGCTCCCTGAATCTGACACCAGAGGGGGGGGCAGGAGCTTCCTCTGGTTTCTGAGCAAAGGGCGTGGTAGCTAAAGTGACCAGGAAGCCACAGGGCGGAGACTGCATTCCAGTAGCAAAGCGCCACTCAGAGCACCCCCTAGGGTTGGGGCCTCGGAGCACCCCAGGCTCTGAACCACGTTTCAGTGGGCAGGTGGGTGGGGCCTGAACCCAGCCTCTTCTTTGCGGGGGTGGGGGGGCTGGCTGCCTTCCACCCTGCCTCCTTCCCTCGCCCCCTCCCCTGGGCTGCGAAYGGGGTGCTGCCCGCTGGCCGGACTGGAGCAGGAGCACTGCAGCCCGAAGGCCTGCCCTGACTGGGGTCCCCTCCCCGTCTTTCCTCATCGCAGAGTGCTAGGAGTCCAGGGTGGAGACGCAGATGTGGGTGGAGGAGGCTCACCAGGGTTAGCTCTGGCTCTAGGCCCTCCAGGGAGCTGCTTATGGTGGCTGCCTGGGGGTCAGGGGAGAGTGGCAGGGACAGTGAATGTCCACTGCCTGCCCTCGCTCTGGCACACCCTGCCAGGGACCTCACAGGTACTTGGCCCTACCCCCAGCAAGGCCCTGGCAGATGAGAGGACAGCTCAAGATCCAGGGCCTTGTGGTGCGTGAGAGGTACGAGAAGCGGCCTGGAGACGGGCTGTGAGCCCCGGCTGCTMGCTCCCTCGGACAGCGGACAGCAAGCACACATGCGGCAAGGCCTCTGGGGCTGGCCCCTGCTGCGGAGCCTGCTTCGGGCTTTGAGTCTCCTCCCAGCTGTCAATACTGCCCAGGAGCTGCAGGGGTGGGCCACCAGGGGTGAGGGAGATGTGACGACCAGGCTCCTCTACTGGACCAGCTGGTGAACCCTGGGATGAAGCACGGGAGGGCCACGGCCCAGCCCCTGACTGTCACAGGATCCAGCTGCCTCTGGAGGAGTCCCCCAGAGATGTCCAACTCCACAGCGGTGAGGGATAGTGCACTTGGTGTGTCACTCGGGGAACCAGCCAGGTCTCTATCGTGGGTCCTCCACTGGTCCGAGTGYCTTTCCGTGGTGTCTGTCAGCTGGCTCTGTAACAGGACACCACAGGCTGGGCCTGTGACGGCAGGTGCACATTTTCTTGTGGTTGCGGAGGCTGGAGGTCACAGTGCGGGTGGGCAGGGTGTGTCCTCTGAGGCCTTCTTCCTGGCTTGTCCATGGCTGCGCCTGGCTCATGTGGCTCACGGGGCCCCCTCTGAATGTGCAGAGACAAGTGCAGGGCCATGTCCTCTCCTTACAGGGCCACCAGCCTGGTGGATCAGCGCCCCTCCTGGGGACCTCATCTAACTGACCTGATGCACCTCATCAAAAGCCCTCTCTCCAGTCACATGGGGGATGTTAGGACTTTAACATGTGAATTTGGGGGACACAGTTAAGTCCTCAGCGTAGAGGCGAGCAGGAGGTTGGCCATGTCTGGGTTTTTTTTGTGTGTGTGTGCTCATGTCCCTGCAGGGACATGGGGTGTGTGGGTCTGCACCCTGGGAAGAGCCAGGGTTGGGGCTGCGTGGTGCACCTCCTGGCTGGGAGGCCAAGGCCAGCCTGCTCTACAGCTGAGCTTCTGCTCCTAAACCAACACTAGCGAACCCGGGCCCGTGGGCTGCTGTGGGAGGTGAGAGGATCTGACCTAAGCACAGAGTGGCCCTGGCCCTCCACCTGTGCCTTTGCCTCACCAGCTACCAGCCTTTCCCTGCCAGGAACACGTGCACACCAACAGAAACGGAGCCGGACACAGGACACACACAGCGAGGGACATGGGGCAGGAGACACAGGGCTCCGGGAAGCCATGCGGCCGACACAGGACGAGCACCCACAGCACTGCGCGCCTTACCTCGGAAGTAGGGGACGTAATGATGTCTGAACACGGAGGTGGGGCTGGGGTGTTGGGACAGGGAGAGGCAGCTACTGGTACCCACACTTGCAGTACCAGCTGCGGGTGACAGAGAGCAAGGCGTCAGCCCTGGCCATCCAGCCATGAACCGTCCTAGTCCCCATGGGCCTAGGAACAGTTGTGCCTCCCCTCTCCAGGAAGGCACCAGGAGACCCTCCAAGGGCTGCCCCATGAAGAACATGCAGCAGCCTAAGGCTTTGGCCCAGAGCCTCAGGCTGGGGCTCCAGGGGAGCATAGGCCCCTGAGCCACGCCTGTCACTCCACGTGGGGGTCTCCTTGGGATCAAGGACCCAGTTGGAGGGCAGCTCCAAAGGCCAGGAGTGGTCTCTCACCACATCCTCAGGCCTCACGCAGGGTCCAAGTCAGCCCTTTGGGCCTTAGCCTTGGGCCACCTGTCAACAAGCCCAGGCTCCCCATGATGTGGTGAGTGGTCCAGTCAGCAAAGAGATCACCCACTGACCCCCCGACTGCCCACCCACTCGCTCCCACATGCATCTGCTCCCTCCCTCACTCACCCACTCACTCATCCACTCACTCATCCACTCACCACCCACTTACCCACTCACCCACCCACTCACCCATCTGCTCATTCACCCACTCACCCACTTGCTCACCCACCCACTCACTCACCCACTCACTCACCCACTCACTTACCCACTCACTCACCCACCCACTCACCCACTCACCCACTCATTCACTCACCCACCCACTCACCCACCCACTCATTCATTCATTCCTCACTCACTCATTGACTTATTCATTCAGTTACTCATTCATTCATTCACTCACCCACTCATTCATTCACTCACCCACTCATTCATTCACTCACCCACTCACTCATTCATTCATTCCTTACTCATTCCTCACTCACTCATTCACTCATGCACTCATTCATTCACTCACTCTCTTGTCCCCTCTTTTCACACTTATTGGGCACACTTATTGGCACATTGCAAAGAGCCAATGAAAGTGACTTTGCAAATGAATGACTGGATTTTTCCACCAGGTTTGCTCACATCAGCGCTGTCGTCACAGAGGTGGAAATGGGGTCATGCACAGTTGACCAAGGAAACAGCCTGGAAAGATCCCTCAGAGAGGCAGCGTCCCTGTGCACCCCTGGGATTGGACACTCTGGGGGCCAAGGAGTCTTAAAGCTGAGGTAGAGCAACGCACAGCTGGGTGCAGGCTGGGATGAGGTGACATGGGTGGAGGGGGCCCTCCATGGGGCTCTGCCCTGACCTCATGCCAACTTTCCCACGAGGATGGCTTTCCCTGTAGTGACTAATYGAGCACAGGGGACATGCTATGCATATTCCGACTCTTTCTCTGGCCACTGATTTTCCTCCACACTCAAGTTTCACAGCCGTCCCTGCCCTTGTGTTCTCCTGCCTTCCTGTGACATGTGCGCTCAGCCACCGCTTCCCGCTGTGTGCTTCCCGGGTGATGCTCTGACCAACGGGTACCTGGCTGCCTCCACCCAGACGGGAGCAGGCCCTCTGTATACCACTAACTCCACCGGCCACCCATGGACAGTCCCACCCTCGGCCATGTTCCTAGCTGCATAAGAGCCCACTTTGTAACCACAAAAGCAACCACAAGGACAGTCTCGTTGGAGGCTGCGAGCCAGGGGACAGAGTACCTGGACGGCTGTAGTGCTGGGGCGACCGTGAGGTCGGGGTGTAGCGCCCAAGGCTGACAGAGCCGGTGGAGCTGGGGCTGGAGGTCCGGCACTGCTTGTAGGACCGGTCATCTTGGTCCCCCTGGGAGGGAAGACACAGCTCGTGAATCCCTGAGGTGAGAGCACACCCCCCTCACCCACCCCCTCACCCACTCCCTCAGCATTCGTCCCCCTGGCCCCAGGGGCTGACTCAACATGACCCCAACATGAAATCTCCCTGCCAGGCCCCGTCTGAAGAGCTGGGTTCAGCCTGGCCATGAYGCTGACAGGCCCCTTGGCCTAAGCATGGTCCCTGTCCCCTCAGGCACTGCGGCCTCCCCTCTCTAGGTGCCTCCTGTGAACTGAGGCTCCAGGGGGTGGCGGGGCCCCAGCTGCACCTGCACCCTCCACTGCCCCCAGCCCTCCCAGCACCTGGGGATCCTTGAAACAGCTCGAGACCACCGAGAGCCTCTAGTGCCAAAGGGGACTCCTCGTGTGCCGTTCAGGAGAGGAAGTGCCCCTGTGGGCCTAGGCCCAGCCGGGGGGGGACCACGGGCACTGATGGCATGGGATGGCACGGCCCCATGGCGGGGGGAGCGGCCTGCCCTAACCCCTGCAGCGTGGCCCGTGGCCTGGATCATGCCAGCCCACCCAGAACCCTGACGAGGGCTGACCGCTGCTCCACCCCTCGCAGCACCACCAGGATGAGCGGGGGCTGGTCTGGCACTCATGGCTGCCCGGCCTGCCTGAGCTCACCGTGGCCTTCAGGGTTTCCCTCCCTGCCTGCACACCCCGTCCCTCACGGGCTCCCTCTCCTGCCCGGCTGGAGCCCCTGCCACCTCTGGCATCCTCTGCCAGGCCAGCCACCAGTTGTGCACCTCAGGCTGTCCTGTCTCCTGGCCACTGCGGGTTGGGGAGCTTAGTGTGAGCTGGCCTCTGGCCTGCTGGGTCGCTGCAAGCCTGGACCCAGGGGTTTGAGGTCTGATGCCCACCTGCAGCCCATTCCGAGGCAAGGTGACCTGCCTAGCCATCTGCAGCAGCAGGGTGACATGGCTGTCCCTTGCCCCCAGTGCTGTTTCTAAGGGCAGACTAAGGAGCCAGGTGGAGGGACTGGACAGGAACTAGACAGAAGATTCTGGCTCCCCAGAACTACAAGGAAGGAGGGGAAGGACTGGGTCCAGTGAGATAAGGAGACTCCGTCTCCTGGGAACCCCGCTGAGTCTGAGCGGGCAGGAGGAAGGTGGTCCCAGTGAGGGCGCCCAAGGCCCCAGGGCCAGAGTGACCACCAGAAGCCCGTGGGCTGTGTAGCCTCCCATTGACCAAATGTGTGCTTGTGTCTGGAGGCACCTTCTGGGKGGCTTTGCCACCAGGCTGGGCTCGTTCTAGACCTCCTTGTGGGAGGAGCCGACGTCCCTCTCGGGGTTTCCCTGTGTGGGTGACGAGGTAGTGCAAGGATGGCCAGCTGGGCCTGTCAGAGGTCACCCGTCAGAGGTCACCCGTGCTTTAGTGACTTATGGAGCATGCGTGATGACAGTGGCTGGTGGACAGCTCCTAGGGGCCGGTGAGGAGATGAGGACTGGAGCCCAGTGGACGGCACACGCTCTGCACYGCCAGCTCTTGCTGTCCCTTGCTCATGGGTCCTGTGATACCCCACCTGCCCCTCCCTGCACCRCAGTGCAAGCTGCAGCCTGGCGGGCTACAGTCCACCTCACTGACCAATTTCTGAGAAACAGGAATGTCCCAGACGGCTAAGGAGAAAGGTTTTTGCTACAGAGATGTTTCCAGAGTGCTCCCTGCAGGGCCAGAAGATCCCATGCACCCTGCTTGGGCATGAAGTGAACCTGAACTAACCCAGGGAGCCATGACCCAGACCACAACCCGCTCAGGTGCTGCCGTGTCCAGGAGTCCATGAGGGCTGGGCTGGCAGGCACAGGAAAGCATGCAGACGAGGCGTGATTATAAAAATAACCAACACTGAGTCAGGTGCCCTAGCTCTGGGGGCTGAGGCCCAGGCTCTGCAGCCAGGAGCCCCGAGGCCCTCCCAGGGCGCCATGGCTGGTTATCTTTATAACAGATGGGCAGCAGCACCATAGCAAACAGGGCACAGGCAGGAGGGTGGTGGTTACCTCAGTCGGCGTTGGCGAGAGCAACTGAGGAGACTGTGGACACAACAGAGTGACCTGTCAGCACTGTGACACTAGGCACTACTTTGGGGGTGAAGGGGTGGTTTGGGGACCGGCAGGCAACACTGGGTCAAGGTGCACCTGGTGGACGGACGTGAGCCACCACACGGGAATGAACCCACCCCAGGAGACGCAGAACGGACTGCAGGACTCTTTTGGAGAAATGTGGTCCAGGGTACCCAGAGAAAGGGGCTCCCAGGCTTGGAGCCTGGCTTGGCCACTCGCCACGCCCCACCGCTCTCGAGACACACGTCTTCCCATCACGGAAGACCGCAGGCTCAGGACACCTGCCACGCTCTGTGTGCACATCACCAGGTTTTCTCTGGAAGGAGGGGAAGGGGGCCAGGGGAAAGAGGGTGACGGGAACCTAGGGCCGGGGCACGGGCAGGGGGTACAGGTTGGACCCCCCTGCCTCACCCTTCCTGGGGTCTCTCAGTAACAGTGAGGCTTGTCACCACACTCTCAGGCTCTCGTGGTCAGCAGGGGCACCTGCTATCCCTGAGTCATCTCTCTCCTGTTTGGCCCTCAAAGCCCCGCAGCTGTGCCCGGCAGCTGTGACCTGAGCAGGTGCCCGGTCACACCAGGCCCAGGTTGGACTTCCCTGCACCCACCTGCTGTGCACGGTGCCCTGGGGCTCAGCCCTCATTTTCCTCATTTTGAGAAGTCACAGAATGAGGAGGACCAAAGGAATCATGCTTGAAAGGACCTGGTGTCCCTGCCCTGTGAGCACCTGTGCCTGGCTACACTCGGGCTACACGCTCAGGCCCGCGGCCCAGCACCTCGGCCACAGGGACACGGAGATCTCAGAGCCACAGAAGGAGCAGCGAGAACCTCCAATGAGTCCAGGTCAGATGGAGAAGGGCGGCCTCATTTAGAAGTCACCAAGTAACAGAGGACGCTCCAGCAACACTGCGAAGTAATTCCTGGTCACCAGGGGGTGGAACTGGCTCGGGAGTCACCAAGAAGAGTGGGAGCTTGCTGGCTGGTGGGGCTGGGTGCGGCCGGGGAGTCCTGGCCAGGAACACTGCATTTCCTGCTTCATGACAATACTCCAGCACTCAGGAGGAGCCAGAGATTCTCACCCAGGTTCTATCCCTTCCCAACAGCAGCCTGTTCTGCTGCCTGCTGCCTGCTCCCGCTCCTGCTCCCACTCCCGCTCCTGCTCCTTTAATGAGGCTCTTGCAGGCCCTTCAGTGAGGGGTGCTTAGAGCCAGCGCGCTGGGCACTAGTGAGTGTGATGTGGCAGGTCACGCGAGGGCCTGGGGAGCCCGCAGAGCGGAGGACACTGGCTGGATCCCATCAGAATGCCCCTGTGAGGGAGGCTCCTGCCCACGGACCACGCGGAGGCCGTACCTCGCTGCAGCTCTGCCTGTCGCCCGCGCAGTGGCTGACGTAGGGCGAGTAGGAGATCATGTCTGGGCGGTCGATGTTGTAGATGGCCTTGCTTTTGGGAAGCGCGGCCAAGTCCCTGTAGTCAAGGATCTCGTCTCCAAGCTTCGCCTGAGGGAGAATAGAGCAGAGGCAGGAAGTGACCCGCGTCCCAGGTTCCAGGCGGCAGCCGCCCCAAGCCCAGAGCCAGAATACAGCCCAGGGGTAGGGGACTCAACTGGGACAGCCTGCCCCATGCCAGCCTCCAGAGGGCCCTGAGGTCCTGAGCACGCTCTCTCCAACTGCGTCAACAAAGGGGCTCCCAGGCGGAGAGGTTGAGACCCATGAGCCCGGCACAGGCCTGCCAGACGGTGAGATGCAGGATAGGCACACATGCATGTGCTCACACACACACACATGTGCTCACACTCATGGATGCACACAGGAGCCAGTGCACGTCTATGCTCACGGAGGACGCACCGTCTGACTGCAGAGGGACACGTCCCTACACGGCACCTCTCCCACATGGTAGTGCACATTCATGCACACCCACAATCAGGCACCTACAGGCCCACACACTCACTCCTGCACTCACAGCACATACCTGCATATTGGCACACGTACTTGCACACACGGACCCCCTAGAAACTTGCATGCACACACACGATCACCCCCACACCCACCTGTACCTGTCTGTACACAGACACACACACACACACACACACACACACACACACTGGTGCACGCACCTTGGCACGCGTGAGCCCGGGCATCTGATGGGTGGGCCCTGGCCCCCACGCACCTGCCCACAGAAGGTGCTCACCGGGGCTTGCCGACCCAGCCTGTGGTGCCGCAGGGCTGCTCTCAGGGTGCCCGCCTGGCCGCCTGCCACCTGGTCCACTCTGCCCACCTGCTCCCACTCTGCCCTGCTCTGGCACACTAGCTCCAATGCCCGCCCGCCCACTGCCTGGCCCTGGCCCTGGCCCTGGGTGGTCCTTGGGCTGCCCGGGGCACTTTCCAGCCACAGGTGCTCTGATCTGGACACTGCTGGCCCACAGCAGCCTGCTCAAGGCCTCTCCTGCAGGTTCTGCAAGAAGACACCCTCAGTAGTAGCAGCAGGTGACACACAGGCTGAACCTGAGACAACTGCCACCTTTTATTGTGAACTCACAAAATATTACAGCAGATCTGTGACAGTAACTCTCACAGTAACTCCTTATGGCAGATGAGGAGCCCAGAGAAGTTGGACAACTTGTTCAGAGTCACGCAGCAGGGGCAGCATGGTGCTGTCTGACCCCACAGTCTATGCTTTCTGCTGTTGTGCTCCCCTGTCCTGTCCTGCCGCAGGGGAGTCTCCCTAGCTCACCCCATACCCTGCAGCTCAAACCCAGGCAGCCCTTCCTCAGGGGACACTGTGAGTCCCACAGGAGACCCTGAACGAGGGCTTCCTGCCCCCAGCCTGCTTGCCCGCAGCCTCTCCCCACGCCCACGGTGTGCTGTGGCCAGACCTGCCCTGCGCCATCTCCAGAGCCAGCAGCACTGGCTGGCCTCCYGCAGCGAGCCCACCCTGACGACAGGCGGACCCAGGCTCTGCCAGGACTCCGGGCCTTCGGGCCACCAGCTCTTTGCATGGCCCAGGGCGAGAAGGAAGCCTGATGTCTCGACTCTGGCTGCTCCTTCCGGAGCCCAGGACAGGGCGAGAGACCCCAGGTCCAACCCGAGCCGTCCACGGGCGGTCACGGTGGTCAGCCTGCCGGCATTTTCCAGGCGTTCCTCACCTTTGGGGGCAGTAGGGAGCCAGAGCCCAGGACTCGGGGTGTGGCCCTCCTGCCTGCTCAGCCTGGCCCCCTGCTCCCCGCTCACACCCGCCACCCTGACCCTGCAGTTCCCCATCACTAGTCCATTCCTCATTGGGGACTTGCTCTTGCCCACACCCCCCGCCTGGCCTCCCGCCTCTCAGGCTCCAGAGGGCCTCCTCGGGGTCCTTCCCATCCAGGAGCTGTTTTATTTTCTTCCTCTCGGGAAGGGACTGGTCTTTGTGACCCAGACAACACTAGAGGGTCCCTGGACCCCATTTATTCCCTCATTGAGCCCCTGCCCCTAACTCCAAGCTTGTCGTGGCCAAGTGCTCAGGGCACCCTGGACTTAAAGTCACTGCAGCGTTTGCCAAAGTCGGCAGAGCTCTGGGGTCTCGTCTCCTGTAGAGGGGACGCCCGCTGGGTTGGTGCCTCACTGGACCGCAGTGGGCCTCCGCGGTCACGGCTGATGCCTCAGCCTGAGTTTCTCAGGTCACTAAGAGGCCATGCCCCCCACATTCGCCTCCCTCAGTCACCTGTCCTCTGGGCCTCCCCTGAGTAGCCACAGGGCCTGGGTCTGGGAGGCACCTGGCCCCAGGCTAGTCCCCTCCGTCCTCAGGCCTCCTGTCCCTGGCAGAGGGCCCAGGGCTGGTGGGCTGCTGGATGTGGATGGCCCAAGGCCGCCCGTCCACACACACAGACAGCCATGGGGTGGCCCTGTAGCCCCACGGTCTCCTGTGCCCAGGCTCCCAGGCTTGCTCCTCCCTGGGAAGGCCACTGGGCAGGTGGACAGTGCTTTTCTCAGCTTTCTTCTCCCCTATACTCCATCTAGCCAAGAAGCCACGCTGTGACCCTGCGTGACCCCACCGTCACCACGAGCTCCTGCCACCGCAGCACAGGCCACTTGGTGCTGGAAGAGGGCACACACTGTTTGTGTGACTCCAGTGTTGACAAATCACACCAGAGAGAAGAGGCCCTCGGGGAGCTGTGCACAGCCTCGCCCTGCGTTCCCGAGGGGTGGCCACGGCACGCACTCCCGCCTCGTGCTGACCCCAGACATGAGTGATGGGTGGATGTGCATTACTCGTGTAATAGAGGAGGCAGTGGACAGATCATCGTGAGAGTCCCCGTGCTGTACGCAGGTCTGGTCCCCCATGTGAAGGTAAATGAGGCCCCGCCTGCTGCCCCAAGTGCAGGTCTACAGGAGACGGCACAGCACCCCAGGAATTCTGCCACGTGGACGTGATGGGGGACCATCTCCGCCTGCCTGGGGCGATCAGAGGAGACAGCGTTTGATGACCAGCATCCTGGCTGGCAGGAGCTGGCACTGGTGTTCTGTGCTACAGCCTGAGTGGCCATGGAATGAGCTCACCCTCCTGGGGCCAGGCGTGTATCCTGCATCCAGCCAGKGCGGGCACCCCCAGCAGGGATGGAAAGACAAGCCAGGCCCCCCTCGGAGCCAAGAGGGCTTGTTCCAGCCGGCCATGTCCCAGGAAGGAGTTCAAGCACAGGGATGGCCCACTGCCTGATCTGGGAGACAAACTGGGGCGTTCTGGCCTGTGGGCCTCCTGGGCTCTGGGAGCTCCTGGGTAGTGGTGTCCTTGCTCAGATGCTGTGTGAGAGGCCAGGCACCTGTGAGTCTGCAGCTCTCTGAGCCACCCCCGGGTGCAGGCTAGGCGCCCACCTAGTCAGTGGGCTCTGAGGCTGAGAGAAGACTGCGGGGCAGGGCGTCCTGGGGCCTGGCTGCCCACTGTTCACGGCCAGTGCTTGCTCATGGTGTCAACCTAAGAACCGGTAGTTTAGATCTGGGGTGCCGGATACCATCGCATCTTTCACTGAAGCAGGCGCAGGAGGCTCCGCCGAGTTCAGACACAGCGTGGACACTGGCCGGGGGAGTCCTCACCCACCAGAGTCCTGCACCTTTCCTTGGCCCCCATCCCACCTGAAGCCAAGTGCTCAGTGGACTGGAAGTCCCTGGAGGACATGGTCACAGCCTAGCCCCATCCCAGCCGGGTTCCCTGGGCCGGGGGGTCTTGGAGCTCGGCCGTGCTAGCGACTACCTGGGAGAGAAGAAAGGACCGCGATGGTGGTTTTAGCTCGGAGCAGCAGAGTCCCTGGAGACAGCCCAGACATCGGATCAGGGAGCCTGGGTCTGAAGCCCAGCCCTGTGTGGCCTGGAAAGCGGTGTTGGGGCATTGGAGGCTACTGTCACCACTCGCTGCCTGGTTATGTGGTCACTACATGATCTAAGCCCCTTGCCAGGGCCGTTATTCAAGCACACATTGAGGGAGCAGATGCTATGCGCCAGGCCCTTGGTGCCATCTGGGGGGCACCTTCCACGTGCCAGGCCCTGCCAGGCACTTTGCAAACATCGTCCAATGGACATCCTCAGTCCTGACGAGTAGCATTACTCAAGACRATGACGGTGGCACGGAGGGCTGAATCCCTGTGGTGCAGTCCCAGCTCGCAGGACTCTGAAAGCCACTGTTTGGGGACAGGACCTTACAGCGGTACTCAAGGTGGATGAGGTCTGCACGGTGGCCTGATCCAGTATGCCTGGTGTCCTTGTTAGCAGAGGCCATCGGGACACAGACAGGCACAGGGGTGACCCCGTGGGGGGGAGAAGGCACTGTCCACCAGCCCAGGAAAAGGGCCTCAGGAGGAACGAGGCCTGCCCGCACTTTGGGCTCCAGCCTCCAGAGCTGTGAGATATTCCGCCTCCTCGTCCAAACACTCGGTCCCAGTTCCTTGTCACGGCAGTGGAGCAAGCTGGCGGAGACTCCTAACAACGCCGGCAGTGAGCAGTCCCTACGTCCTCCTTCTGGGCCAGGATCTACCTCAGTGAGCCCTGGACAGTGGGGGCAGAGTCTCCTCATCCTACAGATGACCGCCAGAGGCTCAGAGAGGAGATTGTTTCACCTAAGGTCACACAGCAGGTTTGATGACCTCACACTCTCAGAGGAGATGTCCCCAAAGGACCATGGTGTCATCACCCTTCAGGCCAGTGACAGGCCATAGTTACCCAAGGAAAAGAGTGTTCATTATTATCACCCTTAAGAATTACAGCAGGARAAAAATCTGTGTCCCACCACTGCCGAGAGGAAGGGTGGGGAGAAGGCAGAGAAGAGCAAACCGGACCCTCCACGCTGCAGGGACCGAGGTCCTGGCCTGGCCGGCAGGGACACTACAGAAGTGACTGGTCCCATGTCACCTGCCATTCTGGGTAAGGGCAGCACAGGGGCTGGACTCCTTCCCCTGATAAGCCATCCCCCGTGTGGCACCTTGGGGCTCTCCCAGGGACAAGTTTTGCTGCGTGACAAGTGGTGTCAACCTCTCGCTCACAGGTTTCACTTTTGCCCCTCCCCACGTGCCACCTGGCACACCCTGATGCCATCCATGGGGCTGGTTTACACCACTGTAGGTGACATCCCTCTGCCTTCTGGTCACCAGAGAGCTGGGGTCTGATCCGGGGGACTCGACCCCAGGAGATCTGCATGAGTGAGTGCCCAGGAGAGGAGCCAGAACACGGGCCTCCCTGCCACCCCGGGGCGACCGCACCCAGGCCCCACTTACGTAGATGACGCGGCTGGGAGACCCTGAGGTGCTGGAGGCGGGCACGGAGACGATGCTCTCCGAGGAAGTCCTGGTGTCCTGGGGAGAGAGCGGTGGAGGCTGAGCAGGGTCCCAGCTGGACTTGGGCGGCCACCACTCTGCAGCAGCGCCACCCACCAGGCTTCTAGTTTCTGCCTCCCCTGGCCCGAGGGTCCTCACCAACACACAGGCTTGGACGAGCGACGGGAGGGCCACGGCCAGACAACACGGCAGGCCACACGGGGACAGGCAAAGCGGCCCACGGCCTGGTGGCTGGCAGCGCTCGGGGGCTGCCCTGCACAGAGCCTCCCCGGGGAGAGGGCGAGCTGTGTCCTACCCTCTGCCCATGCCAGGGCGTCCTCTTTCACCACTGTCCACTGTGTAGAGAGGTCGTCCCTCTTGGGCAGGGTCGGCGTGTGGCCTCTCAAGACGCCTCCTGATGTATTGGCAGCCTCTATCATTGGCAGTGCTCTCTAGCTGACCCTGTACCCCTGGCCACCACCAAGGACAGCTGCTCCTAACCCTCAGTGTTAAGCACCTTGCCACCAAGCCCTCGGTGCCTGGGCTCCAACTGCTGGGTGCCCGAGACCTGCGCCACCTCCCCTGGTGGCACTGGGCCCCTCCTCCCACCCGCTGCTGCCCGGGGCTGAAGGGCTTCCTGCTGTCCACTTCCTCCTGTGCCCCTCTGGCTGTAGCGGGCATCTGTCCCACCCCCGGGGCCACCTCCCGCCTGGCTTTCCCTGCCTTCTCCTCACCCCACCTGGTAGGAACTCATCTCCCTCCAGGGCCTCCCCCTCGGAGCCAGGAGCCTGGGCACCCCCTCCCTGCAGCTGGGTCCTGCGCTGAGGCTCCCAGGGGCCTGCTGCTCTTCCTGCCTCCTGGTACTAACGGGTCTGTTCCTGACCCTCCCTGATGGTCTGTCCAGTCCTGTGCCCATCTGCCCTCAGTGCCCTGTGTTAGGGACTGAATTGGGTCCCCCAAGGCTCCATGTCCGAAGGCCTCTGAGGGTGGCTATGTGGAGACACGGTCTCTCAGAGGGACTTCAGGTGAGGGTCACAGGGTGGCCCTGATCCAGTCTGCCTGGCGTCCTCAGGAGAAGAGGAGATCACGACACAGATGCACACAGAGGAAGACATGTGAGGACACGGGGGTGCTGACCACTGCCCAGGAGAGAGGAGCCCGCCCCGCCCGGCCCTGACCTCGGACGCAGCCTCAGAGCTGCAGGACGGGGCTCCCTGTGGTCCAGTACCCAGCATAGGGCCCTAAAAGGGAGCCCTGGGAGTGCGCAGGGCGAGCCCCAGACCCCGGCACAGCTCCTGCACTCAGCACGACACCAGCAAGGACAGGTGGACACCAGGACCGGGCACAGCCACACACGGCAGCGCAGGCACAAACCTGCAGGGCACGAGGCGCGGTGCCCGGGCGGGCCTGGCTGCAGATAGGGCTCTGCATCTAGAGGGAGAGAGGAGGGCAGGCATGAGGCTCAGGCGCAGCGCCCACCGCGTCCCCTCGGCGTGCTCCTCAGCCACCTGTGAGGACCATGTTGGGCCCTCCTGGAGCCCTGCCCTCTACTGCTGCACACCAGGGACTTGGGGCCTGCCTGATCCTCAGACCACAGGCTTCAGAGCTCAGGTGGCCCAAGCCCTTGGCCACTCCAGCACCTCCAAAGACCCCTCTGCTGCTCGCAGGGCAGACGGCCCCATTTCCAGACCATAACTCAGGCTGCTCTTCCCGCGGCCCCTGTGGTGGGGCTGYGTCCTGTACTGGCCCCAAATGTCTGCACCAATTTCCTGCTTGGGCAACACCTTCGAGTCAGCTTCTCTACAGAACGGAGACCCCCAGCAGGGGCTTCCCACCTCTGAGGCTTAGCTCCTGTGAGTCCTGAGTTGAGGTGCAGCTGGACCTCACTGCTCCCTGCAGGCTGGGCTCAAGAGGAGGCCCCAACAGGAGCTCTWCCTTGACCACAGACTGGCACAAGGTAGGACATCCCTGCCCCGCTCAGCAAGCCCTGCAGGACCAGGTGCAGACGTCACTCCCGCCTGAGCATGGGTCGCGGCATGTGACCTCTCTCTGCACCCAGCTCCCTACTCTGCACAGTGGGCAGAGGGCAGCGGGCAGGTCCTGCTTCACGGTCAGCCAGGGCACTTAGGTGTGGAGTGAGGCTACTGTCCCCAGAGTGAGAAGGCAGAGCCATTCTGATTTCCCCTCCCCACTCCCATCTGCAGCGTGGAACTTCACAGTGAGATTCAGCATCGTGCCTTCTCCAGGGCCAAGTGACAGCGCCTCGTTCAGACCCAGAGAGGTGGACAGGCTGGAGCTCACCAGCTCCAAGACCTGGGAGTGCAGCYGTCCCACGGCTGTGCTGGAGAGTCTCCATAAGGACACGCAGGAGTCTCACTGACTCTGACCCCACGACCAGGCGGGGCTGAGGCGCAGGGCGAGCTCACTGTGGAAGAGGCTGCGTCTCGGCACCCGGGCTTCCTCCGCGGCTCTTGCTGACCTGCTTTCTGGGGGACCTTCTTGCTCAAGCCCGTCTGCCTTGCTCAGTGGCCCCCAGTCTCTGACCACCTCCCAGGCTTCCACTCACAGTCAGCAACTCAGAGCCCACACCAGGGACACTGCTTGGATTTCCAGAGGAGAAGAAGAGGTGCCACAGTGCAGTGCGGCCAGCCTGGCTGGCCAGGTCCTCCTCTGAAGTCACCAGCCCTGACCAGAGCTGGAGCTGTCTAGGCAGAGCATCCCTGTGGCTCACTCTGACGGGCCACTCAGCTCCAGCTTCTCCGTGAGCTCAGAGGCCTGGCCCTGCCATGGCCCCTCGCCTTCCTCGGTCCCTGCATGGCACCTGCTGCTCTGACTCAGGACCCAGAGCCCAGGAYTGGCTGAGCATGGAGGCTCAGCCCCAGGAGGCCAGCTCTGTCTCCTGCCCAGCTGGGTTGGGCTCTTCTTTACTGCAGAGCAGCCGGTCTCACGTGGTCCCCTCACTGGACATGGGGCCCCCAAAGACAGGGAGCCCATGCGTCTTAGCATTCCTGGGCTCCAGGCAACCAATTCCAAAACCCACGCAGAGGATACTCRGGGCTAGGTGTTGATGATCACATGACCAAAGGCCCAGGGAGACCCCGGGACAGGGTCACAGGACCAGCCCACACACAGCTCCCCTCTTCTCGGGGCCCCAGCCTCATGGTGGTGAGGGGCAGCCAGGCAGTCGGGTCCTTGAAAGGCCCAGGCTCAGGCCTATTTCCTGGACAGGGTGGAGCCAGCGCCTCTGGGGGTCCTGGGGCCATATAGACTGGTGGCAGGGGCACTGTTACAGAGACAGCTAAGTCACTCATCCCCCGACAGGCGGGTACTCCTCATCCGGCCTCCTGGTAACACGGGAGCCACTCCACCTCAGTGGCTCGTGATGCAGATGCCCTCCTCGGGCTGTGCCCCAGCCACCAGGGGAGGTGAGCGGCAGAGGACGGCTCTCCTGCCCTAGGCCACTCCCATCAGGAGTGATGGGTGGTGGACTGTCGAGGCCTCGAGTCAGCCCTGACGGGCAGAAGCGGGGACCCAGGGAGGCTGTGCTCCTGAGGCTGCACCAACATGTGGCCCGAGCTGTGGGCCACACGCCCCTGGCCAGACAGGCTGGGCCCTTGGGGCACCTGGCTGGCCCTCCTCCCTGCCTCCGGGGGCCTTTGCCCACTCTCTGGTTCCGTGCTTAGTCAGCAGGTCCTCATTGGGGCTTGGCCACATCCAGGACAGGGAAAGGGCCTACTCTGGGCCCAGGGGAATGGGGCGGGCAGAGCCCACGTGTGTGTAGAGTGGGGGCTGGTGACGAGAACGTGGGGTCAGCAGAGTCTTTGGTGAGTGACTCCCAAGGTGGCCTTTCAAGCCCAAAGTAGGAGTTGGCTGAGCTGCAAGGGGCGGGGAGGACCCTCCATCAGGGGAAAGCACCTGCAAAGGTGCAGAGGCAGAAAGGGCAGGGTGCAGGAAGGGCCGGGGCGTAGCAGCCTGGTTGGGGCGTGCAGAGCTCCTCCTCCTCGAGGCACCACCAGCCTCTGGGCAGTGCCTTGGACTGCCTGACCCAGGCCTGCCTCGGTCTTCATTGCTGGCCCCACCCGCCCTCCTCTGGCCCAGGGGCTCCTGTTCCAGTGCTCAGCCTGAGCCGTTTGGTCTGGAGGCCTCCCGGGCAGCTGTCTAGCAGGCTCCCCTGTGGTCCTTGCTCGTGACCTCCGTGGTTCCCCCAGTGCTGGGCCACACCAGCCCTTGTCTGCCCTCTGCAGGGTGCCCATCCTGCCCTCCCAGCTACCTCAGCTCCAGCAGGGCAAGGTCCCACCCGCTCCAAGCTGCACCCCGTGCCTAGCGCACAGTAGGCACTGTACAGGTAAGAATCTGGCCCTGCCCAGAGAGACCCTTAGCCTGTGCCCTTGGTTTCTGAAGGTCATCTTTGCCCTCCCTGATAGGAGCACCTCTGTTCATGGAGAGACTGACGGTGCCTGACGGTGGCTTAGGGTGGGGGGTGGCCACGTCAGAAAGACCAGCCACGTGACTGGGGTGTGGTGGGAGCCAGGGTCCCGTGACATCAGCTGACCTGGCACATGGGCCATGAATCAACCCATCACACCTGTGTCACAGCCCCAGGAAAGTCTTGGGGGTCCAGCATGGTGCGGGGGGGGGCGTCCTGACTTRGTGGGGAGAGGGCCAGTGGGGGCTCTGTGCCAGGAGCCCCCTGGACTCTRCTGGTGCGTCTCCCTCTTTGGCTGGTTTCACTCCTGTCCTTCCCTGTGCTGGGTGGTGGCCAGGAGCAGCCCAGCTCTTGGTGAGGGCTGGGAGCCCTTCCACTAAACCATCAGACTTGGGGGCAGCCCTACATTTGCAGTTGGTGTCAGGGTCCAGGGTGACCTTGGGGACCCCCACTGTGCAGCCATCCCCCGACTTTCATGGATGAGTGAGGAGGTCCACAGGGCCAGGACAAAGCCCCCTCGAGGCCCTTGCCGGACCTGCATGAAGGCTCTCCCGGGATACCTGCTCATCCCTCCCGCCCTTGGCCCCTTTTAGGCCTGGCTGCCCACCCTGAGGCCTGGGGCACTGGCCAATGAGTCGGCAAGAACTGGCCAGCGCCCTCCCGACTGCATGGAGACCGTGCCCTGATGGTGGTGGCATCAGAGACGGGGACCCACCAACCTTGCTCTTGTCTTCAGTTCTGGCTGCCTGCCGACACGCCGGGTGCCAGATGGAGGAACCTGCCGGCAAATTCCCAGGAGCAAGCGGTTAGAGGGGGGCCGCCTCCCGCAGGGACGTCTGCTCGCCACCCCCAAGTGGCCACCCTCTGCCCTGGTTGGTGCCGGGCCTCTGCCCCTGGAGGCTCAGAGCCCAGTTTGGGTGGAGGCAGAAGCAAAGAGCAGAGGTGCCATTGTGTACTGAGCGCCCCCACGGGAGGCCCCAGTGGACATGGGCCTTTGGCATGGCCTTGTGCTCAGAAGCAGGACCCAAGAAGGGCACGCAGGCGCTCCTCAGCTGACCCAGTGGGCAGACCCTCAGGGGCACCAGGTCTGCTCCGCAGGCTCCAGCCCCGCCCTCTCCCATTCAGGCTTTGGGGCTCGCTGTGCCCTGGGTTCCTCACGGTGGCTCTGCCGGCACCACACCAGCTGCCACGCCATCCCCACAACAGGGTGGCCCAGAGCCCCACGTCCTGGCCCTCTGCTCTTGTCCAGGGCAACCCGACCTCCCCAAAACCCAGGCTGCGAGGATGTGCTGCTGCCACCCAGCAGCTCTCTGGGTGGACTCAGTACTGGGCAGAGGTGACAGTGAGCAGGGCCTAGAGGACTACATACGCGAGGTCATCCAGGCCCACAGGGTGGGACGTAGGGGGCCCTCCTTCTAGAGCTGGACACTGGGTTCTCCTCTGGGCTCCTGGAGCCTCAGCCCAATCCATGCTCCCCCGCCCCTCCCAAGTGCCCTCTGCTGGCTGCTGTGGTCCCGCCTCTCACCCACTGTCCCTGCAGCAGTGGCCATGTGCAGGCCACCAGGGCCTGGCCCAAAGGAGGGGCTTACATAGCAGTGTGGGATGAGGGGACTCCATCCACCTCCTGCTACAGAGCTCCCCAGGGTGCGTGGAGTAGCCCAGGGAGTGGGTGTGTCTCCTGGGCACCCTCAGCCTCCCTGGGGAGCTCTAAAGGGAGGTGGGTCGCGGGCACACGGTGCGCCTGTCTCTGACTGTTTTTACACTTACAGAAGTACTCGATGCTCCTTACCAAAATTATTAGAAACTGAAAATGTCTAATTGCTGGCCAGCTTCCAGGACACGGGCCTGCGGCAGCCCAGGGCTCAGAGCACGTGCAGTCTCCCAGGGATGGACCCAGGGCCTGTGCGTGCAGGCAAGCTCTGACCCACGCTGTACCCAGCCCGTCCCGCGGCTCCCGCCTGACCGTGGCCTGAACATGCCCCCGTGAGGAAACGTCACCAGAGGTGCCATGGAGGCAGGTGACAGTCTGCAGTAAGGGCAGGTGGCCTTCTTCACACATTCTCCCCGGGGCTGCCTGGCTCGACCATGGTGTGGGGCTTGGGGCCCTGCTCCCGAGTCAGCGTGCGGAGCCCTGGACCCAGGTGAGGACACGCTGGGGGCTCGTGAGATCTGGGGGCAACTTTCCACTCCCCAMCCCACAGGGGATGAAGGGGTGGCCACCCTGGGGTCTCGTCAACATGGTGGGAGAGGTGGTGTCTAGGTCAGGTTTCAGCACAGGCTCCTGGGTCACCAGCGAGTGCCAACCCCCTGACCCCCTGTTTACTGGGAGAGAGCTATTGAGGTGGCCTGGAGACCCTGGGGACAGCAGACCCACACGCCAGGGCTCCGATGACAGCATAATTCTCTGTCAAACTGAACCTTGATCTGACATGCAGGACCACCAGGCACAGGGCCACCGGGCTTCTGCTGCAGGGTCCCATGGTCAGAGAGCAGAGCTCCAAAGCCACCAACCGGATGATCCAGTCTCCACTGTGCAGTGTGGGAGGCCCAGGGTGCCAGAGAGCCGACAGGCTCAGCCTCCCTGCAGGTCCCTCTGTGGAGGTCCCGTGCCAGCCAAGACCAGAGTGATGACAGCGTCCTTGTTCCCCAGAACTGGGTGGCTCTTGATGCAAGCTCGTGCCCCTGGGCCGCTCCCAGCACCGCGGTGTTGGCACCAGTCCAGCCCCGTTGTCTGGGAGCAGCACTGACTGTGGGGGCCTCCTGCAGAGGAACCCGGGCTCTCCGGGGGAGCACAGGACCCCTTTCAGGGCCCTGGGGCACAGACACAGGGAACAATAGGCAGTGCCGGGGACGAGGCTGTCCTGTGTGACATCACTCCATGGTCGCCTCAGAAAGGGAGGTCTGTCTGACACACAGCCTCCACGGGCACGCTTCGGTGGCCGAACGCTGGAGAGCAGCTACCACCAGCTCCGCCTCCAGCCCTCGCCTGGGCCCTCCACCCACGGCCAGCCCAGCTGGCACCCAGCCCGTGGCATGGACCCCACCAAGGGTAGCCTCTGACCTTGGGGCCCGAACTGCATGTCTGAGTCATTACCTTGAAGATACATCTCCTCGCCTTCCGCAAACATCTGGCCGCACCTGACGCAGAGCGCGCACGAGGGGTGGTAGTGCTTCTGCCCGGCCTGCAGGAGAGCACACACAGGTTTCTGCTGCAGGACCCCTGCTGGGCCACGGCACTGGGTGGAGGAACCGCCCGCCCTGCACTGAGGTCCTCAGGGATCCTGGACAAGCACCGTGACCAGAGCCCCGCACGGCCTCATCCAGCAGCTCCCCAGGCCACCGGGTCCTGCATGGAGGCAGGGCACCCCTGGGCTGGGCTGTGGAGGGGTCGGGCTCAAGGGAGGCTGGGCCACTGATCCTCTGTCTCTCAGGACATGGAGGGGCACAGGAGGGGCACAGGAGGGGCATGGGAGATGGATGAAGGAAGAGGGCAGGAGCGAGCAGGCAGCGTGCCCCCAGGGGAGGCCGGGGTGAGAGATGATGAGCGGTGATGTTGGTGATGTTCTTCTGGAGGCTCTGATTCCTCAACTTACTCAATTAGCAATCTCTATTTTTATAATTCCTAAAATCCATGAAACCCGATTATAAATGTCAATACTGACACAACCTGAACAGATCACACGAGCATAATGAGATCTGGCTTATTTCTGCATGAATCACACCAAAATATTATGTTCACTGTTACTCGTGGTGACCATGTGCTGGCCTCAGGCGAGGCGGGCAAGCCAGTTGCTGAAGGCGGAGGGACGTCCCCAAGCTCCATTCTTACCTGAAATGGGAGGCGGCTGGTGCCCACCACCCAAATGTGAACCTATGATGTCTCTGTCCTGCAAGAGCGACTGAGGAGGGTACTTTCAGCCTCTCCCCTCCCTCCCTGACCCGGGCCTCTCCCCGCAAACTGGAGAGGAGCCCAGGTCACCCCGTGTGGGGCCCCGTGTGGCCAACCAGCGAGGCCCACTCAGGGCTTTGGGCAAAGGACCCTCTCCAGGCACCATGAGGGCCCCACCCTCTTCCTGCTGGCCGTCCATCCCCAGGCCTCTGCGCTCGCTGTCCTTCTTTCTCCCCCAGCTGCTGCCCGGAACGTTCTCTCCTCATTCCCACGCCTCTTCCTCGAAAGCCCTCCCTGACTTGGTCCCTGACTTGGTCCCTCCCACCCGGTTCACGCTGCTCGCCATCACCCTATAGACGGTGAGCCTCCGACAGGGCACCTGGGCCTCTGGGATCACCAGTGGCCTGCTCTTCTGGTCAGAAGGCTGCACCACAGTGCCTGGCCAGAGGGTGATCAGGAGGTCTCAGTGGCTCACACGGTGAGTGGTCAGAGGTGCCCACTTCCCAGGCATGAATGTGAGAGGGAAACCGCTCTGCATTTCAGAAGCAGAAGTTGACTGCTGTCGACTGGTGTCACCACTGATGACATGGAGCTCAGATGGAAAGCCCCTCCTTCCTGCACAGTCTGTGACCTCTGGCCTTCCTTGCATCCACCCCATCCAGGGGCCCCCATGGCTTTTGCCACAGAACTTCTGGGACAGCTGTTCGAGGGGGGGGGTGCGTCCCCCAGGGCAGAGGCCCGCATGGCTGGACGCTTCTCAGCAGCAGAGGCCATGTCGCGACAGCCGGCGAGGCCTGTGGAAGCAGGTCATGTTCTGGATTGTTCTAGCCCTGCTGTGCCCGTGAGGTGCCTCATCAGCCCCTTCCCACAGGAGACACTGCGCACGGACTGGCAGGCGGGAGGTGGGATCAGAGCCACCGCCCCTGAGCACACGCACGCAAGCCGTGCCCACGGGCACTCGATCCCCAGACTGGAGGCCCTCGACCCCGGGGTTCAGGTCCAGCCTCAGAGCCACGCCGCCTCTCGCCTGGGCAGACATCGTGGAGGCACACACGGAAGACGACAAGACAAGGACAGACCCTGTTCTGCCACCGCCAAAGTGAGGCCAAAACTGGCCCACACTGTCAGAGTCGGATGGGACTGCCTTGGGGGAAGAGACCGGACAGGGGCCCATGGACATCTATAGCTTGTCATGTTCTCTGTCTGTGTCTGGCTCCTGGTGACATGGGTGTCTCCAGTTTTCAAACATTCATCAAGCTGCACGCTTCCCATTTGAGTGGGTTCTCCTCGTGTGCAAGTCACACGCCGTGTGCGTCACCACAGTGGCTCAAAGAGCTCACAGAAGAGCTCACGGGCCAGACCATTGGGCGAGCACAGGCAAGGCCACAGGAGCCCAGGCTTGACACCAGAAGCATGAGCAAAAAGAAACCAAATGAATTAGAATCCAACAAGATCCAAAACTCTTGTTCATTGGAGGACATTAGCAGAACAGTGAAAAGACAAATTTTAGGATAAAATATTTGCGAATCATAACCTGATCAGGGCACAGTGTCCACGATACCGTATCACTGCCACTCAACAAGAAGACAACCCAACTGAGGAAGGCAGTCCCCAAACAGAGACTGAGATATCAACAGGCACCTGGACGGGGGTCCGGCATCACTGCCATTAGGAATGCAGGTCCAACACCGGGAGGCTGCAGGAGTGACCGCAGGCAGGGACAGCTTGAGGGTGGCGAGGTGTGGGGAAAGCGCGCCGCGGCAGGGTGAGGTGGTGCAGCTAACGCGGCAGGCCCAGGCGGCCACCACACGGCCACCCGCGGCTTCATCATAGGGACCAGAAATCTACTCCCTGGCCCTGAGGGAAAGTGAAGAGGAGGGAGACGGAGGACGTGACAGATGTCCACCGCAGTGTGACTCAGGTAGCAGAAGGGTCCAGCCCTGGAAACCCGTGGGAGATGGCACAGCGGCAGGAGGGACGCAGCACTGACCCGTGCTGCAGACGGGTGGGCCGTGGGACCCCCGAGGGGGAGAAGCCTGCCACAGATGGCCACGTGAGAGGGGTTCTGACCCCAGGGGCAGAGAGCCACTGTTCCCATATGTAGGTCCAGGTGAGGGCTGTCAGGTGCCCATGTCACACAGAGCAGCCAGCAGCACAGGACCAGGCAGCCAGYGCGCAGACCCCGCCTCCCCTCCTCTGCAGGAGGAGCCAGGGACTCCCTCCTCCTGGCCACAGGGAGGACAGGCCAGCCCCCGAGGCTCACCAGAGCAGGCCCTCCTCCCGGCTCAGCCAAACACAGGACCTGACGAGGGCCCTTCCACGCCTTGCCCACCGTGCCTGCTGCTGCCCTGCGTCCTCACAGGGTTCCGCGGGGTCCAGGGTGGGGAGCTCCAGGGTCCGCCCACCGCGCGCTGGCCTCAGGTTCAAGGCTTCAGATTCCTTTCTGAATTTCCAGAACTGAATTCAGACCCCGAAAGAGCCCATCGCCACGGTGCAGAGGGAGGGTGAGACTCACGGAGAAGAAAACCAAGATTCGCTCCCAGGTCACTCCACCTAAGAGCATTTGACGGCAGGTGGCTCAGAACCCCCGAGGGCTCTTTGGTTGGTGCTGGGAGTTGAGCCCAGGGCTGCGTTACCCTGGCCACATCTCCAGCCTTTAAGGTCTCACCACATTGCTTGGTTGCCAAGTTGCTGAGGATGGCCTTGAACTTCCATCTCCCTGCCTCGGCCTCCCAAGTCACAGGGACTACAGGCGAGTGCCACCGTGCCCAGCCCCACAGGGCTCTTCACCCTGAGACCCTGTGGGAGCAACTGTCCCAAAGAAGAGCCTGACTCCTGCTGCGTCCCGCAAGCCCTGGGAGGGGCTGCACCCCTCCGGGACCCTCCGTCACCCTGTGAGCTTCCCCTTGCAGCCCCACCCCTGTGGCTCGGCTCGCCAGAGCATCGCCAGGACCATGCATGGCCATCGGCTGGACCCTTCCCGCCTTTCTCCCTGCCTCACTCCATCCAGGACAGAGGCTCTGGGAAGCTGGCCATGTCCACTCATCGTCTACTGAGCCACAGGTCAGGGCCATGCCCAGGAGAGATGTCCACTGAAGGTGCTTGGAACAGAGGATGCAGGGCTACCGGTCACTCGTACACAGTCCCTAAGGACAAAGGGTGCTAATGGAGTGCCTTGGGAAGAGCTGAGCAACCCAGGCCACGGGCAGCGTCCACACGTGCCACCCAAGGACTGCAGCCTGAGCCCTGACATCCCTCAAACACAGGGCCAGGGACACAGCCGTGAACGGTGTGTCAGGGGCCTGGGGCCTCGCTGCACCACAGGTCAGGCACGAAGTGGCACCGGAGGAAGGCCAGGAGGAGTGCTCGTGTGGGCTGTGTCCACTGCATGTGCTGTGTGC